TATCTAACACTGAGTGCTATGAGCTTAATCCGATTGTTAGTGCAGACCACTTGTAACAAGTAGAACCACAAACTGTCCCATGAAGTATGGTCATTTACACAAGAATTGTTCAAGGATCTGATAATTGCTTCTCTCAGTCATATGCAGGTTAGTTATCCCAGTTAGATCAAGAAAAAGTATCATAACTTTAGGTGCCACCATGGTCGCTCGATTTTGCCCAGCTATCGATGGCATGCTTATAATACACTTCTGATAAAACATATGCTAAAACCTAACAGCATCAAAATGGTTTGCTTTGATCAATTAACGAAATTGTACAGACTATAAGCCTAACAACTTATCCACTTCCAAACACACTTGTCATATATCCCTTTCCCATTTTGATGCCTTATATGATATGATAACAAGCAGACATGTGATGCACAGGCAACGATGTTGTTCTCTTCTGGGGCAGACAACATGACCATGCAAACCTTTTCTTTCCTATCAACAGATTATCTAATATTTCCTCTCAAGCAATACATCTGAGCTATTAATAACCGCTTCCCGATTTTCTTTTTTACTTTTTTACCCATGATCAGTCGTGAGTTCGTGCCACGGCTCTCATCCATAACAAGATCTCCATATACAACCGAATCCAAACAGTGAAACACAAAGTACTCCAAATTATATTCCTGGATCTTTAGCTGTAACAGTGGAAAGATACAGTAACAACCTCCTGGCGACAAAGTAAAATCCTGATATTCACTCCCGGAATAAGGTATGTGCTGACCTCTTTATAGAACGAAGTGAAATGCTTTGCAAGCAAAATTGCAAAATGCTCTACTGAGAGTTGCTCCGAACATTCCTTCGCTTTCACGTACACCTAAACAAAAGCTCCAACCTCGTCAAACCAGATTAGAATTATTGTATTACAACAAACAAGTCCGAACATGCTACTCCCCATAACTCGCTAGCGCCTTGGCCGGAGTAAATAGCAAGCTACACGACCCGCGATACTAAAGAGCACAGGACAATCGAACGAACGCACCCCCGTCTACATCACCGACCGGACAAGAGCAGAGAGACGATTCAAATCAACCACCATGGCCAGCTCAAACGGGCGAAAAGCTGGAGGATAGAAGACATTAGGTACCGTGTTCTTCATGGTATCGGTGGCGACAATGCCGGAGTTGTCGCCGCGGGCGTACGCGCCGACGATATCGGAGAAGAGACTGATGCTGACGTCCCACTCGACCATGAAATGGCGGCCGTCGCCGGCCCTCCAGACCCTGGCCACCCGGACCCTGTCTTTGCCGTGCCTCTGCTCGAAGCTGAAGCCTTCCAAGCCGCCGGCCATCGCCGATGATCAGCCGGAAGCTCGCCGGTCACGGTGAGGGGGGGTTTGAATTCGAGAGGATCGGAGGTGGCGAAGTACTCGCAGTGAGAAGATTCGATGAGGAGGACGATGACGACGCTGCTGCTGCTGCATTATTATGAGTTATATAACTATAAACGCTGCTTTTTACGTGCCTGAATAGCGTTCCTAACTCCACGCTCTCTGGAGGCGCGTGCGTTGAGGAGCTCTCGAAACACACGAGCATTTGCACGGCCTGAAAAAAAAAAAAAAAGTGTTGGTAATTGGACAAAGCCAAATGATTGATATTAGTTTTTTTGACATAAAAAAATATGAAATTGGTTCTAATTTGCCGTTCAAGAATGATCGATTCGACCAAATCCATCCGGATTTCCTTCGAGCTCGGGGCGAAATTGGTAAGCTCAGACGGATTCAACGCTCCGCTCAGTTCGTGATCGGATCTAATTGCGGATATAAAGAAATAGCACCATTACGTCGTCGTTCGTGGATTGGCACGATACTGACTAGCTTATCATTCATGCATTTAGTGAGAATAGTATCTTGAATAATGAAAAAAAAAATAGTGGAGAAGCTTTAACATATCATTAGGCATGAATGACAATTCGTCATTGGATTTCAGCTGGCGCTTAGCCTCGGCTTCAACAAAGATGCTCCATCGTATTAATTTAGAAATTGACCCTAGCCAGTCATGCCTATAGAGCAAGCCACTAGATAATGTCTCATCTAATTCTCATCAGCCCTGACCTAAAAAGCAAAAGATATCCGAAATCTTACCAAGATCTATCCTTGATCGGACTGGACAACAGCAAATTATGGCATCTTGGGAAGTAGAAAGACTCAACTAGAGCTTTCGGAAGGCAAAAGGATGGTGAAAGCTCGGATGACGATTGATTGGACCGCCAATAATACACTAAAATGGTCAAGTGTGTAGAAACGTGTGAAAAGTAATTTGCCTCTGTCGCCCAAACAATCGTGTTTTTATTGAAGGGCAAAACAGCCATGTGCACGAAACGACATCCTTATTAGGGGTGAGCGATTCCCGGTCCGGTCCGATTCCAAGGTGAAACCTGGAACCGGACCGAGAGAACCGGTTCCCAATTTTGGGAACTGCGGACCGGACCGGTTGGTTCTAGGATCGGGAACCGGTTACTTAGAGTTTAGGATTTTTTTTTTTTAGTCAAACACTTAAGGTTTAGTTCACATTTTACTAATTTTTGTTAATAAATTTATGTCAATGAAGTTCACTTAGGGTTTAATTCACATTTTACTATTTTTTATCAATGAATTTATGATAATGAAGTTCACTTAGAGTTTAGTTCACATTTTATTATTTTTTTAAAGAAAAAAATAATAAAAATATATATTAAATAGTCGGTCCGGTCCGGTCCGGTTTTCCCTTGGAACCGGGAACCAGACCGCCCGGAAACCGGTTCCGCTTTTAGGAATCGGGAACTAGACCGATAGTCCCGAGAACCGGACCAAACTCGTCGGTCCGGTCCGGTCCGGTCTGGTCCCGGTTTGGGCGGTCCAAGTTGCTCACCCCTAATCCTTATCACACGTGAAGTAAGAAATCGTAATTAAAGCCCCTTTAATTAAAAAAATTTGTTTGTTTTCAGAGTTAGGGACATGGAGGGAAAAGAAGAAAGAAATAATAATTTCAAAAAGAAAAAGAAGAAGAGGGAAAGGTTCAAATTGATTCGATTAGCTACTGTTTTATTGCCTTTACTTTCATTGGTAGGCGGGTGGTTTACACGCGCTAAGATGAGCAGTGGGCAGGTCGTCAGGTAGAATAAGAATAGTAAACGCATTGACCCGTGTTTATGGTAATATAACCGGCCCCCGGCCATAAGATCGGGTGGTTTACCGTTTGCTGTGAGAAAACAGATTCTCTCCGGCGGAGTTGTCACTAATCTCTAATCATGGGCACGGTGGCGCTCGGGGCGGACCGGGCAGGCCCCCGGCCCGATGCATAAGTGGGCCGTACCCGTCCGTCTTGGTAACATTTCGGGCCACGCCTCGGGATGATTGGCCCGCGGCTTAAGCATTAATAGGCCGTGTAATGTTGTGTGGTGTCTGTATTTGTACCTGTGCCTTGGAAGAAAAATAATAAACCAAATTAAATAATTCATCATCGTAATGTTTTTTACTTCCAGGAAGGATTCTTACACCGTGATTTTTTTTTTATTGCATCGAGATGATCACGAGACGCGTATCAATGCAACAAAAACATCACCAAATCTATTCTTCAAGGCGGCTCGAATTAGCTGCTGACCCAGTAGCAGTTGCTAGTAGCTGCCCCCTAGGCGGTGTCTGTTCATCGGCGCTCCTCGCCATTTACATGTACACCTTTCACGTGATATGATTTTTCACGGCGAAAGAAAATACTCAATTTCAAGCCTAGGAATGTACTTTTATCTGTGATAAGTTTAATCTTTATACCAACATATTGTCGTGGTTTTAAGATGGATTTCATACTTTTCACAATGCTAGCAAGAAATTATTATAACTGCGAGCTAGACATTAATACATGGCGCCAAAGATGAGTTACATCGACGAAAATACTGGTCAAAACAATCTTTACATGTCGGATGTCTTTATTACACGAAGAACATCACAATTGCAAATTAAATAAGTTAGGGGAATAAAATGTACTTAATCATTTCCAAATTAACTTGTAGAGAAACAATGACGAACAAGTTGTCCTGTTGAACTTTTAGACGTAGCTGTAATTGATGGATACATCTGAAATTACATTATTGTTGGAAGATCTCTATTTTCCTCTAAAATGTGACGATAAGAAATTTTTTAAAATCTTGGGAAAAAAAATTGGAATGGGTTGTCGACGTTTCGTTATTAAGTTTCGTTTGTTTCGCGAAAAATAAATTATTTAGAGAGCATTTTCCTGAAAGTGATCGCTTGTATCTACTTACAAAAATGAACGAATGAGAAAAGTATTTTCGTCATCTACGGAAATATTAATACATGGATTGTTATCGGTAATGAAATCATTTTTCATTTGCTAATTATATCAATGGACACAAACGAATTTTTTTGAGAAAATGTTTTGCAAATAATTTATTTTTTAGCGAATCAAACGGAGTAAAAGGAAAAAGCCAAGTATACAAGTCAAAAAATATATAAAGAAGCAAGATATATTAAAATCATGGAAAATCTGAACTTTGTCTTGTTAATTTATGGGTTAATACCACGAAAAACCTCAAACTGGTACACCTGCGATAATTTTACTCAAAACTAATTTTTTGACCACCAAAAACTCCAAACTGGTATACTTATGACAACTTTGCCCAAAACTAATATTTTGACTATTAAAAACCCCAAACTGGTACATTTGTGATAAATTTACTCTCCGCTAATTTTCGTTAAATTGAATTAATACCACAAAAAATCATAAACTGATACACCTGTGATAAATAGAGGGTAAAACATAAAACTGGCACATCAGTCAACTGTCGCGTGTCATTTAACAAAGAAATTCAATAGTAAAATTTAACGGAAATAAATCAAGAATAAATTTGTCACGGATATACTAATTTGAGATAAAATTGTCATAGGTATATCAGTTCGGAGTTTTTCGCGTATTAACCCTTAATTTATCGATTTCTGTTGGAATTCGTGCAATCGGTGCTCTGTTTTCTGGACTCATTCGTGTCCTGTCTCGAAGTTATGCGCTTCCCTGATTCCTTCCCTGCGTTCTTGATTTGCCAGTCGCCGCGCGCATAGGCACCACCCATCATCGAGTCCTCCAGCCTTCTTGGTTTTTCCGCAGGCGACAGCTCGCGCAGGGGAACTGCAATGGCGACCTCAGCCTCCGAAGAAGGGCCCGGAAGGCGCGAGAAGAGGGTGGTGGTGGTGATCGGCGGCGGCGTCGGGGGTTCCCTCGTCGCCAAATCCCTCCAGTCCTTCGCCGACGTCGTTCTTATCGACCCGTAAGCCTCATTTCTCTTCAAAAGGACTCGTTTTTATCATCTACCGGAGCTGAATTTGTGCAAATGGATCCAATTCCTTCGAATTTTCACTCGGGTTTCTTTTGTTTTATGCTTTTGTTGGCTTAATTCCCAAAGAGTCTCGTTTCTGTGGATGAAAGATACGATCTTTCTGCGAGTCCTGTAGGATAGATAGGGCATTCACTTCGCAGCTCTCGAGTGATGACATGGGTTGAGTTATTGGTGACCTAGAGATGTGAACAGTTACCATAGCTTGGAGCGCAAGCTAATGGGGGTCAAAAGCCTAGTCCGAGTTTCCACGCTTTTGTTGACATGGTAGATGACATTGAATTTGTATGGTACCATGTCCTCCTTTTGAAATTAATTTGTTTGTGGAGTAACCCTTTTCAGGTATATTGTTGTAGAATTTGTAATTGCCTCCTTTGAACGCGAATAGTTATTTCTGCCATTCTGCATTAGATGCGTTAGCAGATAGATGGTTATGCAGAAATTATAGAAGTGAATGCTATATAATGTACTTTACGCTGGAATAGTCTGTTCTGGAGTTGTTGCCTTTTTGAAAACCGTGAAGTGCACAACAAGTTTGGGGACATTGTTTTCAACTAAGCTGATGTGCATATCAGAAGTTAAGTCGTCTGTGTTAGTTGCCTTTTTGAAAACCGTGAAGTGCACAACAAGTTTGGGGACATTGTTTTCAACTAAGCTGATGTGCATATCAGAAGTTAAGTCGTCTGTGTTAGTGTTAGATACGTGGAACCCTCAGTCTTCCTTCTCCTTTCGCATTTTGCTATTTGTATCTGACAATAAGTTACTCAAATGCGGCTAGGAAGGAGTATTTTGAGATCCCTTGGGCAAGCTTGAGGGCGATGGTTGAGCCATCTGTTGCCGAAAGATCAGTTATTGACCATGGAGATTACTTCACCAGTGGCCAGATTGTCTGCTCTGCTGCTGTGGACATTAGAGATGGCGAAGTGTTGACTGCCGGTGGCTCCAGGTTCCCATTTGACTATCTTGTCATTGCCACGGGGCACAAAGATTTAGTTCCCAGATCTAGAAGTGAACGGCTTATCCAGTACAAAGCAGGTGAGCATAACAAAGTCTGAAAGTCGAAAGCTCAATGATTTGACCATCAAAAGAGTCAGAATCCTACAATTCTGGTCATATCAGACAATCCCCGGTGACAGAGGTTCATTCGTGCAAGTTATCTGAATGTTTTAGTTGATTACATTGAAAAATGTAAGAAACATAGCTAATGTCTGTCTCAAACTGTTAGCAGTGGTCGAATGATGATCGTCTTTCCATCTCAATAAACATTTGGAAAGCTTTTAATTTCTTATCTGAGCCATTTGCTCAAGTAACTTGTCTTTTTCCTTACATTCCAGAGTGTGATAAGATAAAATCTGCTAATTCCATCTTGATCGTTGGAGGTGGCCCTACTGGCGTGGAACTTGCCGGTGAAATCAGTGTTGACTTTCCAGATAAGAAGGTGACGTTGGTGCATCGAGGGTCTAGGTTGCTTGAATTTATTGGTCCTAAGGCCTCCCAAAAGACACTCGACTGGTTGACATCGAGGAGGGTTGAAGTGATCCTGGAACAATCTGTTGATTTAACCATCGTATCAGATGGCACCTATCAAACATCTGCGGGAGAAACCCTCGAAGCCGATTGCCATTTTTTGTGCACGGGGAAGCCAATTGGTTCATCATGGCTTAGCGAGACTATACTAAAGGATAGCTTGGATAATCGTGGAAGATTGATGGTTGATGAGCAATTAAGGGTTAAAGGTCACAAAAACGTCTTTGCCATAGGAGATATCACAGACATTCCGGTAAGATTGGCCAACTTTACCATGGTCTAGTTTGTTCCACTTAGTTCTCCTTTGTCCCTGTTGTTTGATCTACTCTAACATTCATTGTGTCTTACATTGTCTTTAGATGTTAGCTTTTCATGGTTTTCCAAGGCTTGAATTAGCATGAATTACCCTTTGATAGTTTTGTTTTAACTTCAGGAACTAAAGCAAGGTTATTTGGCTCAACGACATGCAGAAGTTACCGTCAAGAACTTGAAGCTTTTGATGACTGGAGGGAGAGAAAGCAAGATGGCCACTTACAAGCCTGGTTCAGCAATCGCTCTTGTTTCGCTCGGCAGGAAAGAGGCCGTGGCGCAGTTTCCCCTGATAACTGTGATTGGATGCGTCCCTGGCAGGATAAAATCCGGGGATCTGTTCGTGGGGAAGACGAGGAAACAACTCGGCTTGAACCCACAGTCCTCTCCATAGAGTCGGAGACTAAAAGTATGTCGATATTCGAAGTCAATACCATCTTATTGATCCAGATGTGTGATGTGAAAGTCTCCTGATCTCGAATCCAAGCGAACTCATTGAATTATCAATTATTTCAAGAAACAGGTTAATTCATATTGATTCTTGACATGTTCTCGATAATCGGCAGTCTTCTCGTTTATTTTGTGATTTTACGTTGTTTTGCGATCTTGGTCTTGCCTCCCTTCCGATTATCTAACGTGACCAACTTTACGATTGAATGAGCTTGCCTGAATAAGCCAAAGTTCTCTCATTGAGAGGTTAATTGGTCTGAGGCACATAAACTCATTGCCTCCAGAAGAAGAAACAGAGTATAAGAACAACAGCGGTTCCGAGGCACACGAGATACAGACTCTCACCGGTTGCCCAGCGACGGTCCTCACAGACCGAGGCAAGGGTCGTCACCTCAGCAGCTTGACAGAGTCACCCCGGTTTGCAAGTCCGGCAAGTTAGAGGTGTCGGAGGACTAATTGCGAAAACGATATACTTTGGCGAGCCAAAATATACACGAACCAAGGAACTTGGCATGTCGATGTTGTGGATTTCTACCGAGGAAAAGGCTGATTCTTTTGAAGCATCATGTTCTTCTTACTTTTTAGCACGGTTACACCATCATCTCCTGGTAAAACAATCTTATGAAACCGTGCGATGGTGGGGACTAGAGCTTGAGCATCAGGGACCTGAGCCCGGCCTTCATGGACGCGGGCTCTGATGCCGGGCTCAGGTGTCGAGGCATAGGGCATGGGCACCAGGGGGTTTGGACCTGGCCTTGATGGACTCGGGCCTGGACACCAGGGTCCTGAGCTCAGTCTCAATGGAGCTTGATTCGGCCTCGATGGACTCATGCTCGAGCGTACACCTGATCCAGGTGTTGGAGATTCAGGAACTAGCGTTGGGTTTTCGTGTTCAAAAGTAGAGTTTCAGGTACAAGCATCAATACCTATTCATATTTTGAAAGATGATTTTCCTGAATTTAAGCATAGTTTTTCCGTTGACCAGGAAAATATTTTCTGTTAACTCAATTGAACGCTGGAAAATAAAGAAAATGTTTTTCCGTAAATATTTTTTATCAAATGAACGGAGCTTTTGCCGTCATTCCTTACCGCCATTTTCATTCGGTCCTTGGGGACTTGTCTGAAGCCCAAACGAGGGCCCAATTCACGCTGGCCCACTCACGCCACACAATAATATATAAAAAAAAACTAAAGAAGGTAAAACGAGCGGATCTTGCCCAATCCTTTCACGGAAGCTTCTCTTCTGGTTTCCTTACGAGCGAAGGAGAGGGGAGGAAAGCTCCGTTTACTTCCTTCGATACGCGGTCCCTTTCCAGTTTCATCGTATCGGTAAGATCAACGTTCGACCGTGTCGTATCTCGTCCTCTGTTTTCGCGAATTATCTCGTACCCACCTGTTTTTTCTTCTTTTTTTTTTGGGGTCGAAAGTACCCTCCTGTTCATCCGCTGCGATTTGCCGGGATTCGAAGGAAGGAAGGAAGGGAGGAAGGAAGGAGGAGATGAAGCGAGTGTTCGGCGTTAAGAAAGACAAGGAACCTCCCCCCAACGTTCAAGATGCCTCCGATCGGGTAAGATTTCTTGCTCTCTTTTTTCCCCAACTGGGTTTGACTGCCGTATAGTTCGCGCGGCTTAATTTGGATGCTCGTCGTCAAGAGCGAGCTCAAGCGGCAATCCCCATCGACACAGAAAAAGGGGTTGACCGTCGAAGAAGGGATCGAATTCCTATCACTAATGGGGGTTGCAGGAGAGATTTCGAGGAAAGTGGGGTTGTCTGTCGTGTCTCACGAAAAGACGTGGGTGTCCATGGATTTTGACCCTTTGATAATTGCTAGGTTTTCTTCCAGGGAAATTTCTTACGAGTTATATGATAGATGTATTCTGGTGGGAAATCCAAAGTATTTGGCCCCTATACTTTCTCTACGTAATTTGCTTTAGTGGTGCTGTCGCCCAAACAAATTTGAATCCCACGTTTGGCTCTTTTGTGTTCATATTTTTGTCGAGATTAGCCGTGTTTATTAGCCGTGTTTTGTTATGCGGGCTACCCTTTTTTCTTAGGATCAATGCTAAATTGTCTGTATCTTTGCTCAGATTACTAAAAGGGGTGACTCAGTGGATGAGAAGATCAAGAAGCTAGATGCTGAACTCAGCCGATATAAGGAACAAATAAGAAAGACTCGGCCTGGTCCTGCTCAAGAAGCTGTGAAAGCTCGAGCAATGCGGGTTCTCAAGCAAAAGAGGATGTAAGTCATTGAACAGATTTAGTACTGTATCTCACTCAAAGAAAAGTTGCTCTATCGAAAAAATAAATCATGAGATAGTTATCATACTACAGTATTGTGTACATAATCTTAACTTTCTTAAAGGTATTTGTTTTAAGTTTAGAAAATCTCTTTCCCTCAACCTATAAGAATTGTTTTGAGAGCTGTTTCCAAGTTGGGTTTGCACGTCTGATATACAACAACCGGTTTGTGATTAAAGAAGATTGTATCTCATGTGATGAGGAATGATTGCGCTGGTTGTGGTTTTTTATTTAGGGAAATGTTATTACCATAATGGATGGTTTAGGTCGTCCATATAATGATTTTTTGGTCCTTATGTGTCCTCAATCTTCTTATGGAAACAGGTATGAAGGACAACGTGATATGCTGTACAATCAAACATTTAACCTTGATCAAGTTGCATTTGCTTCGGAGGGTATCAAAGATGCTCAGCAGACTGTATGTTTTAGAAACTTTTTCCTCATTTTAATATTTCAAGTACAATTTCCTAGACGAGTATCATGGCAACATTGGGAATATCTCAGCGATGGACTTCATCTTTGTCTTTCATATAATACGTTGACTTCTTCTCTCTTATTTTTTTGTTTTAATCCCCTTTGGTTTTTTTTACAAGGGACTAGAGTTTAGTAGTTGTGGTGGTCTTGGTCTATTACGTCGTATTTATTTATACTCCCTTCCACTCTTTTTGGCAAAGCATATCCAAACTATGACCTTTGTTTGTATAGGTTGGTATTCATTATTATCTCAGTTCTGTGTAGTTTTATAGCTGATTGAATATTGTTGCCTTGCTGGCAAGAATTGCATATCCAAACAATGTCGTCTTGCAGTTAAATCTCATCCTCAGTGGATGCTACGATCCCAATATAGAGTACTTCAAAGTTATGGCAGCATACTATGGGTGATTTATATGTTTCTCATTAAAGATCTAATTGTATGGACTGTTGGTACAAGGTTTGTGTATGTCCTCTAATTTATAGGTGGATATGGCCTATAGCTCTAGCAGGCAAAAATTGGCTGAAAGATTGATTAACCACAAACTCTGGTCTGATTTCAGTTGTTTTGCTGCCAATGCAGCATGGTTCAGAAAACTATTATTTATACTTACCTACAACAAGAAGTGTGGAGATCGCAGGAGATCATGCATTGGACCCTGGGAAAGACTTCTGGATTTTGGGAACTAATTTTAGTTCTAGATTGCTTTGTTCAATTATATGTAGCTATGGATGCTTCCGTTAATTTCATAACCTGATATTGTTAGACTACTGATTATGGGGTTTATTTACTGGTCTTACACATCCTTTTGCTTTATCTTATTCCAGATGTCAGCTTTGAAATCTGCCAACAAGGAATTGAAAGGCATGATGAAAACCGTGAAGATTCAGGACATAGATGTATGTTAATCACCATACATTTGCCTTTTAATTTCTTTTAGGTCTACTATTTCTAATCATGCCACTCTTTCGTGCAGAGCTTGCAAGATGAGATGATGGACCTAATGGATGTAAGCAATGAGATTCAAGAGACCTTGGGTAGAAGCTACAATGTTCCTGACGATATTGACGAGGATGAACTCCTGGATGGTAAGAAATTACAGAATCCGTTTTCAGTGTGTTCATGTAAGGAGAAATCACGATTACCACCTAGGCTGTTTGACAGAAGCACTGTTTTTAGCTAGTTTAGCATAGGGAGTGAGAGCTGGTAATCTTATTTAAGAGTTAAGACTTGGATCTTGGTGAAGGTAGACCGCTGTAAGAATAATTGCTCATTCCCAGGGTACTCTACCCACTGTACCTGCTAGATACATGGATGTGGCTCTTCATACAATTTTATTTTCAGTAGAAAAGAGGCATTAAATGAGTGATATTGTATGTATTACATGGACCCAGACAAATATTGTTGTCCAGGTGCATCCGTTGTGCTTATATTTGAAAAAAATGTAACAAATTATGACGAGATAAATAGAGATCTTAGTTCGGCATGCCAGCATCATCCTTGCCAATTTTGCAATGCAGAGCTTTACGCTTTGGAAGCAGACATGGGAATGGAATCAGAAGTTGGAGTTCCTTCTTACCTGCAACCTGATAAGGAATCTGATCTGGAAGAGCTTAACTTGCCTTCAGCACCAACAGGACATGCAGCACCAGCTGGCAGAACCAATACCCAGGTAAATCTCATATAGCTTGTTTTGAATATTCATTACCAGTGGTCCATTAATTAACTGTCCTACATCTGCAATAAAATGTACATGTGCTCATACTAAATGTACAGAAAATGCATGAGCTAGCAATTTTCTTCCCCCTCCCTTTCTCCGATTTCTGTGAAGGGTTGTTGTACCCCAATTTTCTTCGCCATTGGAAGCAGTCCGGTTTAAGATGCATGTCTCCTGACTGTCTTCTTTGTTAAATCCGGATTGAAGTCCTTTCTAATAAGTCACTCGAGTACTCTTCCCTCAGTAGAATGCTTCATAGTTTTCATAGTCCACTAAAAGGCCTCTAGGCATTTGTCTTAATTTAGCACTAATGGGATTCTATGTCAAACTTTATGCTCCCCTTTGCATATCTTTCTATAGTGAGGATTGGACCTCCACAAATGATGGTTTTGTGTCTCTAATTTCGATGTATTGTTCTAATATACATATGCATATATGCACATGATATTTATGCTGATGCACACTTCAAGCATCCATTATCTGTTACTGAACGTTCTCTCTCTTTTCATGAAAATCAGTATTCCCCCCTCTCATCTTCTTACTGCTTTCCTTTTGAATTTTATGCTGAACAGGCCGACGATGAACTGGGCTTACCTGCTGTTCCTCATGCATCGATACGTAGTTAATGATTCGGCATGCTGTCTGTGCAAGATTGCTGTACGGACATACCCTCTTTGTAAACATGTTGTGCAGTTTGTTATTTTCATTACTTCTCCCAGGTAACATTTCTCTTGGATAGGGACACTAGCTTCCATGATGTTCTGCACGATGCGGTGGTCAAGATGGTGGTTGAATCTGTTGGTTAAAACGCGGATGTGCAAGGGCAGAATGCTAGCTTGTAATGGGATGATTTCTTTTGTTCTTTGTGCTTATGCATCGATTTGTTTCAGCATAATTCTGCTGCAACTTTCTCGTAAACTGGCAAATGCATCCTGGCTCACTTGTGCTAAGTAGAGATAAACCTGAACTCGCGTCACTGACAAGACTTCATTTTCGACATCTTCTCCAAATACATCATGTCTCGTGGATGGATCTTGCCGTGCCTTCTTGCACTTTCGATTGTTCTACTTGGCGATTTTCGCGTGTGATCAAGACTTTCATGGCAATTTCCAGTATAACGATTGAAGCAATTGTGTATTGAATTCACCAACTCGAATGCTTAATCTATAAGAAGGGGGTAAGACTTAGTCTCGATTCGTGCTCGCGCTCTGTCCGATGGATTAGTCATAAAACATTATATCATATATTGTTATAAAACGTCATATGTAGGAGAAAATTTGGTGATAACCGTTAGAATAAGCGATTTCCTATTTGCTGATTTTTTATGTTGCCGAGTCAAGTGTCGATGTCTCGGTAAATTGCATATGTTACGAGTCATGACAGATTTTCATACATTTTAAATTACGATAATTTTACATATATTTTGAATCACTTTTCTCTATCACATAGCTGTTGTTCCTAACTTGATCTTTAGTACTAAATAAAAAGTTTGAAATTAAATTGAGACTATAAATTTATACTTAAAATATTTTACTTTCATTGACCAAAACTTAGAACTTTTATTCAGAGGAGAAAAGCTCCGCCTCATAGAAGTTCAAATTATCAAACGTGCTAAAGTCTCTCTTATTGGTTAGGAAACTTTTAAATTTAAATTTTGGAAAAGAAAGGCTCCTCTCATTATAAATAAACGCATTAAATTTCCAGAAGGCCATTTGAGTATAAACATCAGATTAGATGTCATTTAGGAGCATAGCAGCAAAATGAACATTAGCGGGCCTCCTTCGCTTATTTGGACCACTTGCACACCAGAAAAGCATTCATCAAGAACGGTTTCCAAAGAAAGTGACAAACTCCAAACTTCAAACTTCAAACTTCAAACTGCCCTCTTTCTTTTGCAGCAGGCAAAATGTGCTCGATGAAGCTTCCAGAAAACACATCTCGGCCGCGAGGAACAACATGAACGTATCGCGGGAAGTAGGAATTTCCGACAGCAAGCAAGCCTCTATTTGCACCGTGTTTACCGCAACTTAAGGTGTCGGACCCAATTTGTCGCTCAAAACTGAGGGCTTCCACCTGATTTACAAGAACCCATTTACGGGAGATACCGAGCCAAGAGACGCCTACAGATCTGACATTTTCTTTTTTCCATGTTTATGCACTCTCAGGAGAACACACCAGTGCAACAAAAGACCCAATACACCGAGTGCAAATCGCACATTAACGCCAAAGTTTTTCATGATTCGCCAAAGTTCAGAACTTCAGTTAAGATTGAGTTTTTCCATGCCTAACTGCCAAGTAGATTCTGAAATAGCAGCACCAGCACCAGCACCAGCACCAGGACTTGCCTCAAAATGATTCCTGAACCCGCTGTTTGGTGAACTTGCAAGACCTAATTTCAGTTTCCCGAGTTCTTTCTTCATAGACTGATATTGCCCTGTTAAAAGAAAAATTCACTCTATTAAAAGGCACGAACCGATAAAGGCTTAACAGTGTCAGTCAGCAATTATACATGATCCTCGTGATACCTTCAATGCAATCTAAGCCCAAAGAAACAACATAATGGTTACCCTTATCATGGTTTTACTTTTAGGACGGAACGAATGCCAAATTGCTGAGAAGGTCTAATCTCAAGAACATATGTCAGCCAAAATTTCTCAGAAATGACGGGTGACAAGTTGACAAGCAACCCAAAGAATTTCTCATGGTACACCACAAGAGAACAGTTATACCCTCTAGCGGACATAGGTAAATCCCTTCTAATCACATGGAAAGAGGAGAAGAAACTCAAGAATAATGCAGGACAATAATTTGGGAGCATCTATTTCAAATCTAAACAGGATTTACGACAAAAAATCATTATCATTATCGGAACTTAAGAGGAGTCTCACCCTCCAAGAGTAACTTTTCCTGCCGCAGTCCGGCAATCTGTTGCTTCAAGCTGGCATTCTCCATGGTCAAAGCAGAACGGTGCTGAAGCAGAGAAGTAACTCTGACTGCTAACTCTGATTCAAAAGCCTGTATATTGAGATCAAGGTTCATGCTTTAGTTTTCATCTGAGTTTTAGATACAATCTTTGCTCGCGTAGATATCTTTAATCAAGAATGGATAAATAATATGGAAAATAAGAAATGATGCAGAGCTCAGAATGGGTGAATATATATTGCAGCAGGGGCATGCAGCAAATGAAAATTACAATTGCAGAATGAACTATTTGCTCTGGATAGAGACCTAAGTTTTAGATTCTAGATCTTCCTCACAGAAACCTATATGAAAATTTGGACATCATTTACTTGATTAATAGCAGTTTGGGTGCCACGTTTTCTATGGGGTTCTAAAGCTTGCCCAGTTGAATGGTGGACTATCAAAGTGCTCCCCACCACGATGGCTTCTTAGCAGCAGTGTGGGAGAAGCATTAATGATGCTATTCTAGATGAAATACACATTTGATGACATGGGTAGACCCATACTTATGCCAAGGGGTACATTAGCACACTTCAAATGCATAAGTATCAAAAAGCATCTCTGTAATCTTTTTTTTTTTTTTTGGTCAATTCTATAGACTTCGAATTTCAATTACGCCTAGCATTGTCGGTAATAAAAGAATATCTCATCACTAGTTGCAAGCAGGCAACAACGTTAAAGGGCTATATAGCAAATTAGGTTACAGCATAAGACAAGGAAAATAACATCATGACTTTTTTTTTGGACAACAACTGAATTGAATGGAGCTATTCATTAAGAAGAAGCAACAAAACTTTTGTACGGGGAAAATGACGAACTTTTATGGTAATTAATCTGTCAAAACTGCATATCATATGTTATTTCCAGCTTCAAATGATGAATTGTCTTTTCTTCTTCAATTAATTACAAAGAATTTCTTGTAGTTTGCAGTTTGTAAGTCCAAAAACGCTGAAGCTTCTTCTATAACTTTCATATACAACCACCTGTTTTCGGAGTCAATAAGTCAATAAGTCTTGACCAAGAGGTTTCGTCTTTCCTACCATAATCAAGACGAATGGTTGGTTCTACATGAAAGATGCATGGTCCGTGCTGGGCATTTGCTTGCTACGAATAATGGCACTCATGCCATAGAATGGGAAAAGCCAGATGTGATTGGGGGCATGTCTCTATATGGATTTCTTATTTTTCTGTGTTCTGTTAACCAGAATATATGACTATGTTGCCACTATATCAAGAAGCTCTAAGCCTCTAACCTGGAAAACATTGACTGTTTTCTCCAGTTCAGCAATATACTGAAGTCTACGTACCCTCGAACGCTGTCCTGAATGCCTGCAGAAAAGCCAAAATAAGTCATTCCTATGCCTCCTGTCACATGAACTAAAAAAGAAGATAAAGCGATCAGTTTGTAGTATTAATATTCATATCATGGCTTTGCACCAAAACACGGGACAAGCATTTACATTGTGACAGAGGCTACTTCAGCGACGAGCAATCATCCTCCCTGGATATAACTATTCCCAAAATGAGAGTAGGGGTTGCAATCACAGAGAATTGGTGCTCGTATGAATCAATATACAGTAAATAAAAAAAAAAAACTTCACAAGAACTGGTGTGTAGTATAACTTTACTTTTTATACTCTCATGGTTGGTTACGATGAAGTGGAAAAGCTTTTTAATAATTATGTAAACAAAATAAAACAATGCAGAGGACACAAGGTCTTTGTCCAGCCATGCTCTGTAGGAAAGGTTGTGTTCCAACATACGCATATAAGATGATGCCCACGAAAAGTCACTTGACAAGTACATATTTGTTCGCCCGAGAAAATTTTAGATCAGTCAAGAATATCTGCAGGTCTATGTGCACCTTAGGGAAAGGCAGTGTTGCAGCCCTGCTGCTAGGATATGGTTAATAGATCTGGTACAGTACATGCATGCATAGGACACCGTTTTCAGAAGGCCAGGATAGAATAGCTTATCATAGTCAACAAAAGAGGTTGTTGTGTATCTAATAAACTTTGAGTACTCTGAGCATAACAAGGTCGAAGAAGCTCCAAGGTTCGAAAGTATGCTCAACTTGCTGTCGAAAACAATGAATATGCAAGCTAAGCACATTCATATTCCGTTATTCATAATAACAACTGCAGAAGTAACAAAAAGGAGACAATTGTTTTCCTAGCTAGATCAGCTTTCAATTCCGACACATTTATTAAAATCCAAGAAAAGTCAGATGCACTTGGAAGTATGCAAGAGCATCCTTAAATCAATTTATAATTCTCCTCATTTAAGTACCTCGACATACTTATTTGATATACTCTCTTGGAATAAATTGATGTATTTTAGCTCAAGAAAGCAATTAGCCAAAGAATAAAAACCACACATGCTAAGCCTGTGAACATATGGCTGGCGAATTGAAGGAAATTTGGCTAAGCTTTTCCATTGACCACGTATGCAAACATTAGGGATATATAAATTTGCAGATGCAGCTGACAAAAGTGAGTCCGGAATTCTAGATCATGAAAAAATGTAAAAAAGATTACAGAGTTATCAATCACCAAGGGTGTTTAGAAGCTAATATATCACTGAGTAATTAGAAATAGCTAAAATTGCTACCAGAATATATGAGCACATTGCCTTACCGTTTCACTGTCTTCGTCTCGGCATCACCAGTTGAAACACAGATATCACCTTTCATATCTGAGTTGACCATTCCAGAAATGCATAGACTGCCATCTAGGAACTGCAGGGAAGTCTGTGAAATATATTCCGACAATGCTGAAACTATGCCACTGTCCGGTAATGCCGGGTTGCCTTTTTGACGCGGAGAATTGGGACCATAAATGCAGTCCAAGTCCAACCTGCCCAAAGCTTCCCTTCCATCTCTGGCCTGCTTCGCAGTATGGGGTTTGATTGCTGGTAATGAGTCTGATAGGCCATCTAAAAGAGTAATCGAATCACTAGCCGATCTCCGATGGATGACTCCCTTGTTACTTGAGTTTGGATCGTCCAGCAAATCCTCAAGCCACGCCGGCTGCTCCTCCAAAATGGCACTCTGAGAGGGAGATTTTTTATGCCGTGGAAAGACATTGCTGTGGTTTGTGTTTGCAGGTGGAGAGGTGGGGTCGTGAATCGGCCAAGAAACGGGCTTCCTTTGAAATGGGCAGCGAGGTGGAAGATGAGCTTGCCTCGACATGGTGACATGAATCAAAGGGAATCCATAAGCTCTTCATATAAGTCCATGGTTAGATTCTCTCTCAATGCTCTCTTTTATGAAAGCGAAAGTGCACATCATATTCCCCCACCTGCGCCAGCATCCTACAAAGAAAGTTTTGAATTTAGAGAACTTTGAGGGAGAAAGAGGACACCTGGTAGTTGCTGGTAGAGAAATACTTAAACTTCACATGACGAATTCGCAAACCACAGATAGACATTAAACTTTTACTCTATTACATGTCACACAGACAGAGACCTTCTAGCTTCTGTACAAAATTATGAGTTTACACAAAAACTGTCAAATGAAATAGCTCATTGAATTTGGCAAAACTTCTCTAGGAATAGAATCCTCATTTGTAATTCTTCCCTCCCATTGGCCCCAACCCAAAAAAGAAAAGAAAGAAATAGACAGAGCTTGAACACTGTCATTTGGGATGAAGCACCATCTTACACATGAATTCTCTTTTCACTCTTTCTTGCAATCAAACAACTACTAACATATGTTCACAGGGGAAGATAAAGATCGCAGCTTCGTAGAAGGTAAATACAAAGAGCAACCTCTTAATAGTTGATACCTTGCAAATTGTAAAACAATGTGCATGCGACACTCAACCAACCTAAACTGCATAACAAACAGGATTACAGAAAAAAACAAAAAAAAAAAAAGAAACAATGCAACAGTGACTCCAGTGAGCGTTCAAATACGTTCCACGCAAAAACCATGAAACAGGGAGAAGTTTTCAGGGGAAACGAAAGACAAAAAGAAAGGAAGACTAAAGACACGCTCACACGGTTCGATTGGAGGAGAACAGAAAGAAACTCATCTGGAGAGAAGGAACACTTCAAACTTCAATCATCGCCTCTCCGAACGCGAAAACGAAAACCCAACAGCAAGATTGAATTTTTCCTCGAAAAGAAAAACCGAAACCCATCCAGAAAAGCTGTAGCAGTAACGGGAAAGTTCTAGCTCACCTACTGTTTTTCCTCTCTGAATATATCGCCTCCCCACAAGAAGAGCACAGTCATGGGTGGGTGAAGAATGGTTAATATGCGCCTCTCATTCTTTGAAACTGAAAAGCAACAAAAGGGAAAACAAAAACAAGAAAGGGAAAGAAAGCCAGCCCCGAGTAGTTTTTAAGTGAGGCATTCATTCCGCTTGTGCAGCAGAGAGAGAGAGAGAGAGAGAGAGATGCTGGAAGACAGCAGGGAAGGGAGTGTACGACAGGTTAGGTCCGAGAGAGGGGGGGTCAGGTCAGCCATCACTTTTCGGCTTTCTTTGCAACTTCAGGCGTAAAAGACTCTCCTTTTGTATATCAATCGTTGCTTTGTTCTTTCTCCGCTTCCGTTGTCCGACTCCCTGTGAAAACTGTAGGATTCATTCTAATGTTAGCTCTGTTTTTCCAGTAACCAAGACAAAGTGGATTAATGATAGTGAGGATTTGAAAATTTGAGCAAGAAGGACGTGTTTTTAGGTCAGAGCAAGTCCTTAAAAAGTTTCATTCTAATTCTAATATGAGATTGAGATAATAAGGATGTAAAACAATTATGAGGAAGACAAAGATGCATAGAGAATTTGGGGTGCGAGGAGTGCCGGCATCGGCACCGACGCTTTGAAATAATGAAAGCATTTATGGAGCTCGTCATAGAGATGATAGGCCACAGAAACTCTCGTAAGAGCGAAAACTCTTTTCCTTTGGTGAGGTAACTTTTGACCATACCGTGGATCCAAAGGAAGTCATTTGGTTAAGAGTTCTCTTAACCTTCGTCGAAACATTAATGCATGTATCGAATTTTTTAGTGGCTAAATGTAAGAAAATATCTCAATGACACCGTGTATTGTGTTTCTTTTTATTAAGGTGATACATAATGTTTAATATCTATATATATGCTGATGCAGACATACATTATAACTATATATCATTTCAACGCTCGAGAGGCTTGTGGTAATTTGTTTTAGTGCCTTGTTTTAGACTTGACCATAAAATTTTAGGTGAAGCATACGACTCGGAGCTTGAAATTTGGTATTTATTTTAATATTTTAAGCATTTTAAACTTTTGAAAATACACGACCTTTAAAGTTATTTGAAGTCAAGTTAAATTAGGTGACCTTTAAAGCTATTTGAAGTCAAGTTAAATTTACTCATACGTGCTTTTTATTAAGAAGGAAAAACAGCTAAAAAGTTGACTTCTGTTCAAAGATAAAGAACCACATCATAACATGATTATTGATCAGATTTCTCCTCATCATACCCACAATTTTTAATCAGACTTTTAATCAAAGATTAGATATATTTTGTTGAGGAATTGACAGGTAGGGCTAAGCTAAACAGTGGCCTTCCTATTGACTTCGAAAGCTGAGTCCTCATAAGAATAATAAAAACCCAAAAAAGAAATATTTCCCTAAAGTGAAAAAAAAAAAAAAAAACTCTATGGGCCTCACTAAAAAGATATTCCACTCGAGGCCAAAAAATAAAATAAAATGAAAAAGAGTGAGAGAGATATTCCACTTTAAGCATAAAGAATCTTAGAAACAATATAAAGATATTAACTTAGTGGGAAATTAAATTAGCTTCATGCATGAGACCAAGCAACAACTTGCATGGAGAACCACGGGCCCACAATCATATAATATAAAGTAATATAATATATAATATATATTTATACATCACATCAAAAAAGGTTTTCACACACTTGCTTTTGGAGAGAAATAGAGAGATTCGAGTAAATTTCTTCAAAAGGCTGAGTTAGCTGGTTATACTAATCTTTTTAACCTCGAATTAGTGGTGATAAAATGGATTCGTGCGCGTATTAATTAGAGATACGGAGAAAGTTCTATTCTCGTATCATCAAATACGAATAATGTTTTCCGCTCTTATCACCATGTGGTTAATGAACATTTCAAGACTCGAAATTTATCTAAGAAAGTGAAGTTCTATGTCTTTAAATTGGATTTTAATATCTTTTTTTTTTTTTGGGTAACCCGGGAACTCCCCGCACGGCCGACAGCCGGGGAGGTAAACTCGGGGTGACGCTAGCGTAGGACCCACCACCACGACGTCATGCTTAAGAATCCCTAACGCCAGCGCGGATTTTAATATCTTAATTAGTCTTCGGATGGAAAACATCGCTGAAGTATGTAAATTTACTAAAGTTAAATTCGATATTCGACATGTAGGAAAAAAGAATAATAAGACTACGAATCACTAAGCACCCCTAAAAATGATGTTTCAATGAGTCAACGGGAGTTACGAATCTTCACCATACCAAATTTTGAAAATGATGCTTTTGTAGGTTGATAGTAACAAAACGCAACATAGATTAATCAATCGAATTAGTGGAGATAGGACCCACAAGTGTGTATATATATTATCTACTAGTACTTTTAATTGACGGTGAATTATTTGATAAATTGACACTTGTCGTATTTATAATTATGATATAAGTGAAGATGATCTAATAAAGCGGGATATAAAGAAAAAGGAATTATATCCCTTAGTGGGCTAAAAAAATTAAAAATGTGATTAATATGGAAATGGTATAGAATGTCCAAGACAAAGCTATCAGATGTTGATATCTTAGTTTGTTTGATTGTCTATGTCGTTTAGTAATAGTGTTCCAATTTATTATTGCTTTTGTGCATTTGTGTGTGTGTGTGTGTTGGTTGCTGAGTTAGCTGGTACAATTTGTCAAGCTTTCTCATTATTTTATCATCAAGTAATTAACTTTAATTGCCGATTGAATTTTATATATTCAAGTGCCTACAAATTCAGAAATAATTAATTTGTGAAATGAAATGAAAATGGAAAAAAAGGGTATTTCTTAATTTAGGGTTTTATAGTGGCTCCATAAAGCAGGATGGGATACTAAAAATGCTTATTTTATAATCAACTCTATTTTTTTGGGTGGGAAAGAGGTACTTTTAATAAACTTTTCATTAATTTAATGCATTAAAGGGATAGGAAGTGGAGATGAGCCTATGGATTGTGCATGCATCCTCAAGATTTCCATATGAACTCCAAATGATTTTTTAATGCCGCTTTGATTAAGACAAAGCTCACCATGAGCTCACCCTTATTTTATATCCACAAGTTAATGCTTTTCCAAAGACAAAGTCATGCTTGCCAAAATGAAAAAAATAAAAAGGGACAAAGTCATATGAAGGATAGGATAATCCTTCAATTAATTTTCACATATATGTCATGAGAGTTAACACGTTGTTAACATGATGAGCAGAATTAATTATAATGTAAATATCATATGACAACAACGGATTGATATCCGTAGTTGTTGACCTTATTTCTCGAAATCTATTGGAACTATTCAGGTTTAAGCTAAAAGCAATTAGAATTCATGAATATCTCCTCCTGACTATGTGATGTTTAATCCTTCATACTCTTAAGGCAACCCCACGAGAAATATGATTTTGCTCAAATCCCACATAATATCTCATAAAAAATCGATGTGTTTAGCGGTTAATTATACCGTTTAGCGGTTAATTATACCTCAAGTCAAGTGGTTTTTCTCTCTCTTGATATATTAGAAAACATGATGAAAACATGAAAGCCTTGATTTGGTTGTCAATATCAAAGATCATGAAATCTTCTCATATGGGCTCTTCTCGAGTAATTATTCAACCAACGAACTGAAGCATTACTAATGACATTCCAAAATCTATATGTTTACAACAAGAGAGATAAATCGGATCAAGCTTCGTTTTGAACTCTAGGAAGTTAAACATGGGGCTATTTCTTGGGGTGAGGAAAGAAAAACTTTTCCCCAATTAGGGGTGCTCAACGTGCGGATATCAGCACGTTAAAATAAGGGAACATAATTCTATCTTCTCAAGTAATTCTTCAACCAACGAACTGAAGCATTACTAATGATATTTCAAAATCTATATGTTCACCACAAGAGAGACAAAGACCCATAAAAGCCCAATTTATCGAGAAAAAAGGGAAAAACTAAAACAGTTGGGATACTTGGGCTAACCCTAGTTTCTGTTTATTTTCAATTAGGTGAATAATTCTATTCTAATTCTACTTGTGATACTTTTCAATATTCAATCAATAACATGAAAGATGTCCTCTAAAAAAAAAAAAAACAGAACCTACCCATGGGCTTTTGCAGGAAACGGTCCATCAAAATCTAAGGTCAACCCCTCATTTCTGTATGCCCATAACTTGATACTCTCTTGGCTATTTGCAAAACAATTTCCTGTAGTGTTGATCAATTAAGAGAATCTTTGGATGAAAATATATAATTTACTGCATATTTAGACAAACATTCATGTGTGACAATAATTGTTGTGCACATCTGAAGCAACTTTCAATATATATCTAATCAATAACTTTCTGCACAAGACCACAGTTTTTCTGGGGATACAAGCGAAAACCGGCTCTTGTCCATAAATGGGAGCACGGATCGAACCGTTCCGATGGGTACAAAAAACCGTTCTGATGGGTACGACGTCTTTGAATCGGCCCCGAGCCCCAAAAAAACACGTACCTAGATACTCCCTAAACTTAAATACACTTTGCGGGTACTCTTCCATAACAAGTATTGAGAAAAGTACCCCGAGCGCACTCGTTCACATCTTCCTTCAAAAGCTACTATGATCAAACGAGACAAAGCAAGCAGTCACACCACAACCAAAGACCAAAAGATCAAAACACCACTAAAGACAGATGCAAAAGGAAGGAGCACCACCCCCAAAAAAGCCACAAATCAGAGAAGAAGAGAAGGAGACGATTTCTTCTTTAGAGTAAAAAGAAAAAGCGACTCATAGATTACAATTTAAAAGTCAAAGTTTTGAAGGGAGGGTAAACGGGAGAATGAAAGTTCCACCTTCAACTTTTCAAGATGGAGAAGGAAGAGCAACGAGCCTTGGTATTGCTTTTCCTCCACTCCACACTATACCCACCGTCCGTTACGCCTTTTCAAACAGAAATTTTAAACAAAGGGGCAAAATAAAATCTCTAAAAAAAAAAGCAGACGCATACACTCACTCACTCGCACTATGTGCAACTTGACTTGGGTTCACCCTCCACATCACAATACAGCAGCAAGCAGCAACAACCATGGGGTCAGGACCTTGTTATTCCCTCCCATGATCCAGCATTCGCAGGTATCTTCTGTCCACCTTCGAAGTCAAAAGATTCCCTTCTTCTTTTTTCTTACTTTATTCAACACTTCTCTGAGAAGCCAGGACTTCAAAAAAGATTCTTTTCTTGAGCTGTGGACATAGGAAGAAAGAAGCCACAGTCAGACAAGGATCGCATCACGAGCAAGTGAAGACATTTCCCATGCCACGCTCGATTAGATTTATATAAGATGTTCTCAGAGGATAAGGAACAAAAACAAGAGACAACAAGGACCATTAAATGCAAGTAGATTGCCACTACAGATATGCAGGGAAAGTCGAGCCATTCGCAGTATCTGGAAATCTACTACATTTGTTCTACCGGTGACTGGTGAATGCTCACAATTCAAGAAGTGTATATACAGAGTAAGAGCTCTTTGAATGAGCTGAGAGAAAGCACATTTCACAGTTTCCTCTTTATGATATCTCCGGAAAAAAGGAGTTTAACCTAGAAAAAGTTAAGACCCAAGATGTGACCATCCAGCCATTCTTACCAAATCATACAGCTTTTCACCGGAAACAATGACAAAATTGTAACTTGATTCCTGTCATCTGCAATCTGAGTTCCTCAATTGGAAAGTTTTACCACTTTGTAATTTGGAAGTTGGCCAAATCCCACTTATGAAGTTCTCCTTATCGAAGCATTTTCCCCAGAATCAGACTTTAAAAGGCTGTGCAAGTTTCTAGCAAATTTCGTCCCCCAAGGAGTGCAGCGGCCCATTGGTATACATAGAAGGTGGGAACAGTACAAAAGTAGTTTCTTATCCAGCTCTTGAAACTTACAAGCTTTTAAGACGCACCATTCATCAAGCAAATTACTTTATCCATATTCCATTTCCAGCATCAAATGATAGAGAGTAAAGTTATTCCACCAAGAAAACCGCATCAAAAGATCGTTCTTTTTGAACAAAACAAAGCCATCCAAATGTTACAGGTTCTTATAGAGGTTCAACAATAAGTGAAAATAGACCTTTCGACGCTCATGGATCTTATACACTAAAGAAATCACAATTGACAATTAACATGAATAAGCCAGTCTACATGATATTTACTCCAGTAGTAACACTTCTAATTTCACCAGTGACAAGGCTGCAAAAGCTCGTCTACCGGATTTGTTAACAAGCTGTACATCTTTCAACCAAGAAAACCAGGAAAATATTTTCTATTCCAAGTCGATAAATTTGACTGCAGAACAAACTAATCTTTCTGTATTCTGAATATTTTCTGTCCCATGATTCATTTGTCTATTCTTTCCATATCAATCAGCAACCCATTCACTGGTTTAGCAACAACTCAAGTCTGAGCACCTTTGACTTCACATCTGAACATATAAAAAAAACACCCATAAATCTGATTTCTCTCATCTTCTAATACTCTCTTAAATCTGATGGATTCAATCAGCAGGGGACCACATCAATCATATTTAACACGACTATGACATAACAACAGACAGGTGCTCTAATTCTGGTGGCCCAACTCTTCCAAACTCAACCTCTCCTCAACAAAATTACAAGATCTCTCAACATCTGGATGAACTCATCCAAGGTCCCTCACCACCAAATACCTAGCGATGGGCAAGGTCAACGGTCAAATCAGAGTACCTACCCAAGCCAAAAAGTGGCCCAGACATAAACCTTTCATCTTATAGAGTTCAATATACTAAATTGCCTCATTGCATTGCGACAATTAAGCAGGGTTTGTGATAGGAGAAAGAAACAGAAAAACATAGTGTCCCCACAAAAAGTTAGAAGGGCCAAAAACAAGACTAACAGGGTCCCTTCAAAATGCTCACACCATGTTTTGCAATGATACTGCTAATGTCTTTATGGCCAAAGAATGAGGTAAAAGCAAGAGTTAATATATGCAAGGCAACAATGATCCAAGTAGACACTAGACTATGATACATTGACTATCTTAAGGAAAAGGGTACTCCAGTTCGCTTCGGAAAGAGCAAGTGGATTTTCGGGTTAAAATTTTTCTCAAAACAGAACACCAATGGAAAATCGGTATTTTAGTGGGAAACTTCACTCGGTCACCAAAATTTATTAACTTTAGAATGCGAATCAAACTGGAACATGAGGAAACTCAACTGTTAAGATATTCCAGTGGCTCATCTTGTGGTGCATGAGAATGTAGAATAAACCAGTACTCAAGCAAAGAACAATAAGAATATAGCAAAAGCTAAAAATAGGGAGAGGTGACTCTTACCCACTTCAAAGTTCAATCCTTGAAGATGACGTTGTCTGCAATCTTCATGAGCGGTTCCAAGCACTCTGGCGAGAACTTTCGTGCGAAGAAGTACGAATAATTCGACTCGGACTGTCTTAACTCGTGCACGAGCTCCGGGGAAATTTCTTCGGGCTGATACAAATGTGGATGCCCATCGAAACTGCCGGTCCAATTCACTCTAGTCAGTGTGTAGTGACTGCAACCCTTTGGATCCGACATTGACAACAGCGTCGGAAAATAGTGCTCTTCAGGGTAGCAACACTCCTTGTTCAAGCAAGGCAATCTGAACTTCCTCCACAGCTTCCTATCTTCAATGACAAGCGACGCGTGCCGCTTCGCGAGCATGAAGAACTGAGAACCGACCCTGAACTGCTCGAACGGCACTTCCGGGAGCATCACGTGCTCTCCTCGAGCCGTGTAGCGCTCGTACAAATTCGGCTCCTCGGATAGGATCTCGATATAGCTCTTGTACTTGCCAGGGTTTATGTAGGCATTGAAGGCGGAGATCGAGTTCCCAAACAGGGCGTTATACATGTACCGGAAGGAATGGAGCGGGACACAGTGCTGTGAGACCAATGCGAAGTAGAAGTTCGCCGGGTCGTCGAGGATGGCGTCGGCAAGAAGCCTCCTCGCGGCGGCAATCAGCGTCGGCGAGGCCCGCTCGGTCTTCTTCGAAGGGATTAGCCGGTTCCGGAAAACCCCATCGGGCGGCGCAAACTTGGAAGAAGGATCGGCGTGAATGTAAATGTTGTAGAATCGGGAGTGGCCACTGAAGAACTTCTCCCAGAGGGGAGAGAAGGAGAGATCGGAGTTGGTGAGGAAGAGGAAGGCGATCTTGGGCCGGGAGTTGCGGGCCCCGAGGCGGGCGAACTTCGCCGGGAAGGAGCGGGAGGAGGCGGCGGCGGGGAGGGCGTGGGAGGGGGAGCGGGTGGCGGAGACGCGGCGGAAGAGGGCGAGGTCGTCGAGCTCCTCGCGCCGGGAGAGGGGGAGATCCTTGTGGGGGTAAATGGTGGGGAAGAAGAAGAAGAGCAAGAGAGGGAGGGAGAGCAACAGGGAGAGAGTGAGGACAAAGGGTGATGTGAACATGGCGGGGAGGGGGAGAGTGGGTGAGATTAAAAACCACTCCTTTCTCACTTCTAGCTTCAACACTCGCCAGAAATCGCCAAAGGGTGTCGAGACTTCGGGCTATGCGAAAATGGGTGAGCTTGGATTTTGGGTTTTATGGAGTTCTTGATTCGTGGGTCTTCGCAGGGATTTGGGTTCTTGAAGAGGGAAGGAGAAGAAGTAGAAGAAGGGGGTTTGGGGTTGTTAGGGATTTAGGAGAAGAGGATGAGGATGATGATGAGAGAGGCCATAACGAAACCAATAAAGATAGCAAGATTGGGGGGGACAAGGAAAAACAAAAAAGGAGGAGGATGCAGCGCAGGGAGAAAAAAGAAGGGGGGTGGGGGGAAGGATTGAAAGGAAGAGGGGGGTGACGATTGGGGTTACAGAGGGGACGTGGAAAGGGGTGCTTGGAAGAGGACAGGCTCTTTCCGAGGAGGAGTTTGAAGGGGGCGGAAGAAAACAGGGGGAGGGGGAGGGGGACGGGGAGGGGGCCTGAGAAGTGAGGGAAGTGAGAAGCAAGCAAAGCTTTGGTGGTGGTGGCCACTGGCCAGTGGCTCACTGGCGTTGGGGATAGAGCAAAGTGGGAGCAAAAGGGTTGGAAAGCATCTGGTTGGGTGGTTGGGTGGTTGGGGGGGCGGGGATGATGGGGTGGGTGGGCTTAGGGCTTTTCAGCCCGACCGAAATACTTGTCTGGACCCAGATTCGCAACGAACAAGACCGATCTTGATCGTTGAATTTACCAAATCCAATGGCGATGGCTACACTTAATCGGGCCGATCGGTCATGTTAGTTTGGAGCGATACCTTTTTTTGATCTTCCTCTTTTCGGTCTTTCGAGCCTTTCACCAAGTGAGGTGTTTAAATATAAAGGGTCATGTTCTCCTCATCCATAATTGTAGGAAATCTTTTTCAATCGTATTTCGATGGATGAGTTTTTCGAAAGGGTGTATATACCCAAGTCATTGGAGCCGAAAGGCACCAAAAAAAAAAAAAAAAAAAAAAAAAAAAACCTTTCCCCTCTCTTTTCTCTCTTTCGTTCTCCTCTAGCCCTCTCTTCTCGTGCGATCCACCCATGAATTCTACTCGAGTATCATTATTGCACCACCAAAGCCATCCCATCAAGCGACTGTTATTGTTACTGGCCCGCGAGACATCGCTGCTGTCGAGCCTACGAGCGCTTCACCCTATATGCCCAACTTGTCCCTCCCTCTATCCGGCCTCGAGATCTTAAGATTTTGCCTATTTGAGGTCCACGGCCTCGATGAGTGTTTTCCAAATAAGTATTATATACCTAAGTCATTGGAACGAAAGGCAAAGAAAACCTTTCTCCTCTCTTTCTCTTTCTGCCTCCCCTAGCCCTCCTCCTTTGTGCGATCCACCCAACGATTCGACTTCGGGTATCATCATCACACCACCAAAGCTCATCCCACCAAGCGATTGCTGCCCCCCCCCAAGTCATCGCTCTTGTGGAGCCTACCTACGAGCGCCAACTTCTTATGCGCCCAACTCATCCCTTTCTCCGTATCGCTCGCAGAGGAGGCGACCTCCATCCGACCTCGCGATCTTGGATCTGCCCATTCGAGGCCTTCACGGCCTTCCGAGCCCCTCACCGGCCGTGACTCGAGGGCCGAGGGGGAGCGGCGCGAAGCGAGGAACGCCGACGGCAATGGGAGCCACAACGGAGGTGCGCCGACCGAGACAATTCGGATCCTAAACTAATAAAGAGCCGATCCATTACTTTCAAAATATTTCGGACCCTCAATGTTTCCTTTATTTTGAAAACCTACACATCGTGCATGTTCTATAAACCTTTTTTTTTTTTTCCGAACTATATAACTAGAATCTCGCAAGTCCAAAAGTTTCCACTTTTGTTTTTTTTTTTTTGGCAAATAAAAAGGAGGAAGAGGAAGAACATCGTCCCAATACATATACAATAAAACAACAACAAAAAAAAAAAAAGAGGGAATAAGAGAGCACGAGCGTAGACCACCAGTTATATCCAGCGGATCACATCATCTCAAAATCCCAGGCCGCCCCCCCCCCCCACGATCCAACGGCCAGGATTGCCGAGAAAAAGAGAAAGGACTTACGGTTCTAGATCCTTCCTCCCCTCCATTTACCTCGCGCTTTCCCCCCCCACAACCCTCCACCGCCAACAAATCTTGACCGTCCATCGCCTCCCCTTTATTAATCCCAGGTCTCGTCTCCTCCCTTCTCTCTCTCTCTCTCTCTCTCGCCAGCCGTCTCTGCGCTCGAACCTTCTTCGACATCCCTCCTCCCGATCCATCTGAGGCTTCCCGAGGTCAGTCAACCTCTCGGTTCCTCCGCGTCCCTTCGCCTGTTCGAATTCCCTTTGGGGGGGGGGGGGGGAAGTTTTCGGTTTCGGAATTGGCCCGGATCTCCACGATCTGTAATTGGGTTTTTGTTTGGTGCTTTGCTTTTTGCCCTCCTGTTTTTTTGTTCCTCTCTTTTTTTTTTTCTTTTTGGATTTCTGCGGTTAGGGTTTTCAAGGGAGACGGGAAGATGTTCGGGAGGGCGCCGAAGAAGAGCGACAACACCAAGTACTACGACGTACTCGGGGTCTCGAAGAACGCCTCCCAGGATGATCTGAAGAAGGCGTACAGGAAGGCCGCGATCAAGAACCATCCCGACAAGGGCGGCGATCCGGAAAAGGTCCACCCTCCTTGAGCTTCAATTGAGCTCGTTGGTTTTGGCACCTCCGTGCTTTTCGTTGATGCTTGAATTTTGGGAATTTTTCCTTTTGTCTGTTTTTTTTTTGTTTGTTTTTTGGGGTAATTTGTTCGTGATTGTGTCGTTGATTGGATCGGGCGGTCAGATCTGCGTCCTCGATGGGGGAGTTTTGGTTCAATTCGATGTTGTTCCTGCCTCTAGTCATGAAAAATTTGCGGGCTTGGATAGGGTGTAGGATCGGGATTGCCGTCAATTTGATTCATCTCGCTGAATGATATGTGGGCTGGCTATCTATAGATTGTGGTATTGTTGGGCAGTGGGTTCTTTGGTTTAGCCCGGGGCACGAAAAAGATGAACTTGTTATTGCTTGTGTATCTTGTAGGAAAGGTATCACCTAAATGCATGATAGTTGTTTGTGTCTTTCATGTTCACGGCGGATTGATATGCTTTCTGTGCTGAACTGTGTTTACGTGAGCAGATTCTTCTGTATAAGAAGTTCTTTTTTACTGCGTTTTGGCGTGCTCGTCGCTTTATAGATGCATATGTTTATAATCTGGTCATGCCAGTACCAGTTTGTACTCGTGCGGAAAAGTTTGACAGGGATGATCAGTTGATTTTTTCATGGCTCGACTCTCTTACATAAGCATTATCACTTGCGCCATACTGATGATTTTTCATGGCTTGACATGGTTTCTAGATTCTCCAATCTCTGAAATGTTTCTATAATACTGTGCTTGTACCACTTTGCGAATGAATGTTTTCCTGCAGTTTAAAGAATTGGCACAAGCCTATGAAGTCCTGAGTGACCCTGAAAAACGAGAGATTTATGATCAATACGGTGAGGATGCTCTCAAGGAAGGAATGGGTGGAGGTGGTGGAGGCGGAGGCCACGATCCATTTGACATTTTCCAATCTTTCTTTGGTGGAAGTCCTTTCGGTGGTAAGTTTGGCAGGCATCTACAACCCGAGCATAATGTCTGGTGCTGTATAGTGAATGCTGGAGAAGTCGATATTGATCTGAACTTTTATGGTCTCAGGTGGTGGAAGTAGCAGAGGCCGAAGGCAGAGAAGAGGTGAGGATGTCATCCATCCTCTCAAGGTGTCTCTCGAAGATCTTTATAATGGCACGTCCAAGAAGTTGGCACTATCTCGCAACGTTATTTGCTCCAAGTGCAAAGGGTTAGTACAAAGATACTGCTGTCTTCTTCTCTGGAATATGCCTGAGTTCCTGCAAAGTGCTAATATGGATCTCCTTTCTTCCATTTGCAGTAAAGGGTCCAAGTCTGGTGCTTCAATCAAATGTGCGGGTTGTCAGGGTTCTGGAATGAAAGTTTCCATTAGACACCTTGGCCCTTCTATGATCCAGCAGATGCAACATCCATGCAATGATTGCAAGGGTACCGGGGAGACTATAAATGACAAGGACCGCTGCCCGCTATGCAAGGGTGATAAGGTGGTTCAGGAGAAAAAGGTCCTGGAGGTAATAGTGGAAAAGGGTATGCAAAATGGACAGAAGATAAAATTCCCTGGGGAAGCTGATGAAGCTGTAAGAGAATCTCTGTTTTGTTTAAATTCCCCTTCAGGGGCGCAAGCTTTATACAAATTTAATTTGTGGTGATGTATTTGTTAGTCAATCAATAGTTGACTTGAGATCTCTCCTTGCTTAATGGCAGCCTGACACCCTAACCGGTGACATCGTGTTCGTCTTGCAACAAAAGGAGCATCCCAAGTATAAGAGGAAGGGAGATGACTTGTTCTATGAACATACATTGTCCCTTACCGAGGCACTTTGCGGCTTCCAATTTGCATTGACTCATTTGGATAACAGGCAGCTTCTTATTAAATCCCAACCTGGAGAGGTTGTTAAGCCTGGTAAGTAACTATTTCGAGGACCATTAAGCAGAATTTCTGGAGGATCTTCAGAACTCTGGAGTGTTTATTCTTGTTTGCAATTGGCTTTCGTATTATGAACTCATTATTTAATTTTGAGTCTTGACCGGTCATTGTTTGCACTTGAATGCCAACTACTTGTCACTGGTGGACTCGAGACGTCAGGGCCCCTTACTGCCACATTACGTGGACTCTGTGCTAGACTATAATAGTCATTTTCACTTATCTTGAGATGGCTGTGGTAGTTTTCTGTCTGTTGTATTCGATGCTTAGCCATTCTAGATTTGTTAATGCCATACATGTCTTCATCCAGATTGCAAATTTCGGTTTTCTTACAGTAGTTATCTTTGGTTTCGATGCTGTGACCGTGTGATTCTTGGATAATGTACATGAAATCAATTCATACGTTATCTTTACACTCGTAGTTGTCGCCATTAATTACGTGTTTCTGTTGAACAGACCAATTCAAGGCAGTAGACGATGAAGGGATGCCTATCTACCAGAGGCCATTCATGAAGGGCAAACTTTACATCCACTTCACGGTGGAGTTCCCCGACTCCCTGAACCCGGAGCAATGCAAGGCCCTGGAAACAATTCTGCCACCAAGGTCATCAGCGCTGCTCACTGACATGGAATTGGATGAGTGTGAGGAAACGACTCTTCACGATGTTAACATCGAGGAGGAGATGCGGCGAAAGCAGGCGCAGGCCCAGGAGGCTTACGAGGAGGATGATGACATGCACGGTGGGGCCCAGAGGGTGCAGTGCGCCCAACAATAATGAGGTGCTGATCAAATGAAATAAATTTAAAAGCGGTGGATTGGCTAGCATCTGAACGTTGTGGTTGTGCAACCCTGTGGAGACCGAGTTATCTTCGAAATTGTGTTTCCGTTGTTCTAGCTCCTAGATTTTAGTCTCCTTTTTTTGGAAGTTTGCATTGATATTGAAAGAACGTAATGAAGATTTTAGTATGTGGACCTGCGCGACTTAAAATTATGTTATTGCATCGTATATTTTGTATGCACTCAAGACAGTGTCGCCTACTGTTCATTTACGTACATTCATCATCCCGTTCTTTCCCTTATTTGCCTCCTCGCATGAGGCGCGTGAGACGTCATAAGGGGGATCCTATACCCATGTTCCGACCTCTTAGGACAATAAATTGATGAGCTTGGTCGTCGTTCACCATTATTCGGAATTGAAAGAGGACTTTCATCGACCATTCGAACATTTTGAACTCAGAAGATGGGACCCCCTGGGTGCTAAGCAATGTTAAATACGCCTCTAATCTTCACATAGTGTGATGGACCTCTGCAATGTAAAAGGAAACCAAGACTTCACTTGATTTCTAGGAAGTCGTGGTGCTTTTCGTGTCATGTCTAAAACTCAAAAGCCACCAACTGATAGAGACTCCGACCCTTTGGAACCGAACATAAGTCGGAGTAGTTGCCAACTTCAGCCAATATTCCCACTGTTAACTTGAGATTAAGATTAGACTTACAATTATGATTAAGGTAAACCTTAGTGTACCCCAAAAAAAGACCTTATTGTACAATTTTTCTTTCAGTCTAACGTATGTCTCCTTCTCTAACCAACAATTTCTTGGTAAGGTGGTAAAGGCCGAACTAGTTGCACCTGTTTCTCCCGGAGAAACCTGTTTCCACTTTGGTAAGCACAAAGAAGATAAGCCACCGCCAGATAGTGGGATAACTTTTCTGTTGTGATTGATAGGGGTTTCATAAGAACAAGGACTTTCATTTGGTCCCTTATTTTATACGATTAAGAGCATCGAAAGTCTTAACATTTCTTGCGAAAGTGTAATTGAGTTCTAAAACTTTTAAAATGTGCAATCAAGTCTTAAAATGGTCAAATTGATGCGATCAGTCCCTTTATAACTCAATCAAATACAATTAGCGGAAAATGCTAAAGTGGGTTGTGATTGTTGGGAGGACTCAAATTGAAAAATCTATTAGTAGAGCGGCGATGAATAACGTATTGACGGAGGCTCGGATGTTGATGGCTGGATCCCGATTACCGCTCTTGATCGGAATGCGGAGCTCTTTGCATTTGAGGAGCGGAAGCGAGCTGGTAGAGGTATCAAATCTGGGAAACTGCTTAAATATGAAGAAATGGGAAGCAAATTTGAGGCTCGACCAACTTTCATTCAACAAGTTGAACCTAGGAATTCGGATCTATTGTCTAATTTAGGACATATGATGGAAAATAATGCTCATTTGATAGCTCGTAGAATCGGCAAAGTGCTCGATGTCGAACCGTTCAAACATGCAAAGAGGCGGTAGAGGTGGGCCGGCGGTTTCCTTGCGTCGAGGAATGTGGTTTCATTGCGATGGAAATGGTAAGTATTGGGCAAAGGTTAAGTAGATCTTGCTTCAATCTCAATCGGCCATGACTGCAAGCTTGGAGCTCGGCTGTGGCGGCCGCGAGCTTCAAGGTCATATATAGCTTCGAAGCTCGCTGCCGCTACTTATGTCCTCGGATTTATTCACATGTCACTTATCTAACGGTAAATATACAAAAAGTAATTTAGACAGGGAGTGAATGTAATAATTATCCTAAGAACGTGCTAGTACATAAAAGTATATGTTACATAATGTAACAAGTTTCTATTGGTTGTTTGAATGGGCCCACTTATTGTTTACCTTTTCATTTAGTAGTCCTATGTAGCATGGGAATTTTAGCATCTCATAACTCGTTTTATAATCTTTTGAGCAATGTTTTCCGAAAAATCGATAATCTTGTATCGCATACAAAAATGAATGAACGTAAAATATATTCATTGTCTACGAAAATATTTATACATAAATTATTGTCAATAATGAAAAAAAATTTCATCGATTAATTATTTCAAGCGATACAAACAATGATTTTTCAGAAAATATTTACAAAATCATTCATTTTCCGCAAAACAGACATAGTCTAAAATGGCAAATCAAAACATATGTCACTAAAAGAGATAAACTTTTAGAGCTAGACATGATACGATAGTGAATTAATCACCAAGGATCGTCTAAAGACCCATGTTTTGATCGGCCTTAAAATTCCGTTCGAGAGCACTTGAAGAGAAGAAAGCACGTGGAAAACATTCGAAGACGTAAACTTTGTTTGTTTAGCAAAAAATGAATGATTTGGAAAATATTTTCTTGAAATTATTAATCATTGGAATTTTTTTTTATTATCAACAACAATTTTTGCTCGAGAAGGATGAAAATTATTTTTCGTTTATTCAATTTTATGAGTAATATAACCCAGCCTTTCTAGTAAAATGTTTTCCAAATTTTTTATTTTTCATGATAGCTCCGTCTGTTTTGCGAAAAATAAATGACTTTTTTAAAAACGATTGTCTGTATCGTTTACGAAAATGAGCAAAAAATATTCTCATCGTCTACAGAAATGCTTATAAATAAATTATTGTTGATCACGTAAAACTTTCCATTGATTAATTATTTCAAGAGAAATAAGTAATCGCTTTTTTAAAAATATTTTGTAAATCATTCATTTTCCAGCGAAACAAACATAGCCTTTATATTTTTCATTATTTTCCATCTCACAAAGTTTAAAATTTCCAAAATTTTCCACTCATCACTCCATATTTTGAGAAGATCCTAAATCTATTATACGGATACCAATTCAGTCATAAAACTTTCAATTTGGTCAATTTAGTCCTAAATCTTTTGATGATTTACTATTATAGTACTTCCGATCAATTTTGGCTAGAAATCGCCGACATGGACGTCAGCCGTCCTATGTGGCACGATTGGTGTTGATATGGACCATTTTTGTAAATTTTAAACACACACATATTTTTACAAGAGAAAAGTACAAGAAAGAAAATATGTATATGCAAAATTCGGAATTTTTTTAAATTGCAAATATTATCCACATCAATGCCGGGGTTGGGCCGCGTAGGACGGCTGGTGTCCACGCCAGCGATTACCGGCCCAAATTGGATGAAAGGACTATATTGACAAATCGTTAAAAAGTTTAGGCCTCTCAATAGGCTAAATTAAAATGTTTGTGATCGAATAGCCACTCGTGCAATTTGATTATGACTTTTTATAATAATTAACCTTTCATTTATTTTTTGAAAGTAGCCTTAAAATCTTCTTCCTATTCCGGGCTTATCCTCTAGAGGGAAGATTCAGGTGATAACACCACTAGTTACTGCCTTTGTACTTCCCAAATTTCTTTTGACCTTGTCCCCCACTTCTTATCTTTGCACCATTTTATATTTATCTTATAATCCTTTTGTCTTTTCTGACCCAAAAAATAAAATAAAATAATTCCCTTTTGTCTTTGTCCTAAGTTGGCGTTGTTTGACCTTGTTCTTCTTTCCCAACATTGCTTTCTTCGGATCCCAAGAGAGTGTATAAAGAGTAAAATATGGCTGGTAGATGTAACCATCTTGTGTTTATTTTTAGGGTTTATATTAAATATAACCATTAGTGAAAAATATTTCTTACCCGAGTAATTGTAAGTTTGAAAACTTCGGTTTATTTATGGACGGAACACGGTTAGCAAAATTAAATATCGTATATGTGTGTGAATTGGTTTCTTTATTACACCGACAATGTACCGAATATAAATCTTCTCTTTATGCCTCTAATGATCCGATCACTCTCTCGTAGAACGGACATGTTAACCGACATCGCGATTATCTACTTTTTATACTGGATATAACGTAACAATGAACTTAGAGCATGACATCTAAGGTTATTCTGAGTGAGAGATTGATTTATATACGGAATCCGCAGCATCCAAAATCAAAATGCCATTTACCACTTAGTTAATTTTTCGAGGGTATAGATTCTGCCTGGATATAACCTCCTCGAATTATGAATTGGGCAAAAACTACTTCGGGGTTCAATGTTAATGGAATAATTCCTTCTCGACCATTGATTTTGCCCCCGGTTCACGTGGGCTCCGCACGTTGCGGGCCTCACAGAATCAACGGTCGTGATGCCTTCGGTCCGTCGGACCGGATTCAAGCTAAATTTTTACCATTGGCTAATTAAAAAAAAAAAAAACAGGTCAAGAGGGGAAACACAAGTTGCTGGAAAGCGACAGAAATGGTTGACAATTCCGCAACCGCCATTTCCAGATGTGTCTTCCTCACTTAGCTTCTTCACCACCTGCACAGCGAAACGCCATATCTCTCTCTCCCTCGCATGCTCGTCTCTCCCGCACAACCACCACACCTCTCTCTCTCTCTCTCTCTCTCTCTCTCCTGTCTTCGGGCGACGTCGCCCCGTCTCCTTCATTCGATTGATCGGCCGGTGACATGAACAGCACCTCCGATTACGTCGACCCGGCGCAGAACACGGGAGGGTTCGCGTACGGCATCGGGCTCTCCCTCGGCGTCCTCGCCCTCATCGTCCTCTTCACCCTCACCTCCTACCTCTGCACCCGCGTCCGCGTCCCGCCGCCGCAGCACCCCAGGAGCCACTCCTTCGCCGCGTGGGAGGACGGCGGCTACTCGATCGGGATCACGCTGGGGCTCGACGAGGCCACGCTGGGGAGCTTCCCGAAGCTCCTCTACTCTCAGGCGAAGGCCGCTCGTGGCGGTGGCAGCTCGGCCGCGAGCCCGAGCTGCTGCTCGATTTGCTTGTCGGAGTACAAGGAGACCGACGTGCTGAGGCTGTTGCCGGATTGTGGGCATTACTTCCATTCGAAGTGCGTCGACCCGTGGTTGAGAATGAACCCGTCGTGTCCAAATTGCAGGACCTCGCCAGTCCCGACTCCGGTCGGGACGCCTCTAGCCGAGGTCGCACCGCTGGCGGCGTTGCGGCGGTGATGCAGGGTGGAATTGCGGCGGAGCTTGTAGAATCAAAGAAAGCCACTGTAAGTGCAGCAAAAGTACACGTCGGACAACAGTGTCAGGTCATCCATGGACAAATGTTTGCAATGGGCATTTAGGTTTTTGCAGTAAATAAATTCTCATCAATTTTACCCACCATATACATTTGTTGATCTGAAAGGGACATGTCCTATCTATACATACCAAGGTGACATGATAATTTCGGTTTTGTTGCTCTCTTGATTATAGATTTGTATGTTAATAGCGGGTCTATGGACTTCCAAGTCATATATGTAGACGACCTTTTGGAGTTAAAGAGCCTGTCTCGTGCTTCCTGGATTCAATCCAGATGTTTCATCAGGATTTCTATATGCTGTCCACACTACATGTGAGATTAGAGAGTCCGGATAATAAATGGCATCCGATAAATTGTCCTATCGAGCATCCTTATCCTCAATTTGACCGAGGGATTATATAAAACTCTGCGTTACGAAATACGTATCATCGATATCGTTTACCATTATCTAACTACGTCCCGTTATCTAATTTCATTTTTGGGCATTGGTGATTGTGATGGGCCATGAAGGTGGCAAAGATAAAATACTTTGATGAGCAGTCATCATGTATGAGAGAGAGAGAGAGAGAGAGAGAGAGAGAGAGAGAGAGAGAGAGAGAGGGGCAAAGATTTGTGGGTGCAATGCTAACAACAATAATTCTAACCCAGTTTCATTAACATTAAAGGGCAGCTAGTGGAAGAAGAGTAGGAAAGAATTCCAAGAGAAAACAGAATGTCTGCAAAACAGGAGGCTGAACACAGTTTTGGAGAAGAAACCCTCGTCCCCTCCCCTAGACTCTTGGGCGAACTTAGAAAAAGCGAAACCTCTCGGATGCCTACACAACCACTTGAGATGGTGATGAAGTGGCGGTAGGTCAAGTGCAATAAAATATCGCAGATGGGAACTGCCGTTTTGAGAACAAGAGAGAGACAGGCAGACTGCTCCAGTTAAAGACTCGGAATCTTCGACGCAACGGCGCTTAATCGTGACTTGCTCGGGAGATTATCATATTAATCTCTGCAAGCAAACCCAAATCTCTCTCTGCATCTTTTGGTTGACGACAGACTCCACCGCAAGAACTGGATACGACGATGCTGACATAGCCGTGCGGTGCTGTTCGTCAAGTCAAAGGGGGGCGTTCCTTGCCGAAATGAACTGGCGAAAATAAGAAAGAAACGAGGAAGAAAAGGTGGGCATTAGCTGAGATGATCTATCTAGACGAAGCTTATCTAAACCAGGCGTTGCTTAAGCGATAATCATTAGGTTCTAATCAAAGATTGAGGCAACGTGGCGTGGGCACGCTCGCAGTCGCTGGGTTTTGTTTATCGTATGAGATTTTACGGGTTGAAACCCTCGACGCATGGAGTCGTCCCTGCATAAGTTTCGACCAACTGAATCGGTTCAATCATTCGCTATGGTTCCTAGTTACGACCCAAATACGTTGGGTCGGAGCGGGTTGAGAATGCGCAGCTTGACTTTGACACCATGTTAATATCGAACCACCTGATCTGAAATTTGAATTGGTACGGAGAGGTCGGCATGGGTGTATAATGATGACCGGTGACTCGGGCCGAATGATGTGATGCATCATCTTTATCATACAAAAACACGAATCGTGGTATTAAATGACAACATATATATTGGGAAATAACGAGGCAATTAACGGATCTTGCAATTCAACAACAAAATGTGAGAGAACGAAGTTAACACCACGACAAGTAACACTTATTCCATGGTGAGAGTTAGCCGCTAAGAAATCCACTATGAATCGGGAAAATATACTCAATCGCTTGAGTCTTGCCTAACCCTAGATTATGCCCAAGAGACTTCAATTGTGTTTACTTATAATATTTCACAACGGGTCGAGAAAGAAGTCCACTTATCAGAATTCATTATATAAATGTTAACCATCGTCACAAATGATTCGTTTACTTACACCCAATTTTGCTTAGGTTCCTAATCGGCCTAGTTAACATGTCTAGGATAATAAGACATTAAACTATTAGTCGAGAAACCTAATGAAATAGTTTGTTGACATGAAAAGAAGTGATTGTTTGACACGATGAAAACTGATGGTTGATCATGAAAAGCGATGATGATGGGAGATAAAATATTTATTTCCAAGAAATGTGTTGATTGGTTATTTATAAATAGGATCAAATCACACTTTGTTTATCACAACCATTCATAACAATAACATCTCTCTCTTCTTCTCCTTTTACGCACAAATTTGACAACACATTCAAAGTGAAATTCGAAAAAGGAAATTAAGTAATTACAAAACTCATTTCTCTGTAGTTTTGGTGTATATCCTGGAGGTGTATTTGTTATAAATCAAGTAGCAACAGTAATAGGGACAAATAATACCTTAAGGACAGTGATAGTCATCACGCATTGAAGTATCAACAAACTACGAGCCACCGCTCTATCTTCACCACCAATCAAATTGTGATTAGTAAGGCTTGTGAGAGTCTCCGCAAAGTCCATTAGATTCACAGGTAGTCTCTTAAATCTTTCTTCATCATTCCGTAATCCGTCAAAACAACTCGAGGTTCACATCAAGAGGGTCGGGATGTTATTATATCGATCCGCCCGATGACTAACAAAGTATGCACACGATGCGATCAATTGATCTCATGTAGAATTATAGCATTTGTTTTGTGCATGAAAGTGAAGGAGTATAAAAGGAAATCTTATGCCATAATGACGTGGAAAAGTAAAATATTATTATCCACGTGGCAAGATAAGAACGTAGTTATCTGTATTTGATGGAGCAGAGCATTTACATATATTTATGATTATAGATTACCCATTTTCCCTCGCATCTTAGATTAAAAAAGAATAAAGTAGTTATTAGGAAAAAAAGCAATAGATCGACCTAACTTTCATATTAGAGTTCCATGAGGAAACTCGTAAACCTAATTTGCACGTGCCTAACGCTGTTTTTTTTATTATATAATTGTAATTATGTTTTCCAAACGTTTTTTATTTGATGATATGATCGAACATCCTTTTCGCTCCACAACCAACTTAAATAAGCTAAAAATCAATAAATCCAATATTGGTAAAAGAGAATGCAATTAGATAAATCCCACCATCATAACAATATTCAAGCACCCGAGTCCATCGAGGATGAGCCTAGGACCCTGGTGCCCATGGGCTATGTGCGATGCCCCGACACCTAGACACGGGTCCACAAAGGCCGAGCGCGGAATGCCGATACTTGAGCTCGGATCTCTAACACCCCGGTTCGGGCCCATAAAGGCTGCGCTTGGTAGGGGTGAGCATCGGTCCATGTTCAACCCTAGACCACCCTGGACCGATCCAACCCGGCCGTTCCTAGTCTAGTTCCCAAGGGGAATGGGTCGGTTCTTGGTCCTAGGACCCCTAGACCCTGCACTGTGCGAGTTAATCCTCGGTCCTGGGAGTTTAGGGTTGACCTTGTATATATTATATAGGGAAAAAGCCACCAAAAACCCCAAATTTTTTCACCCGTGACACATTTACCCCGAACTTTTTTTTGTGACACCAAAAACCCCAAACTTTGCTATTTGTGACACATTTACCCCAATGTATTTAGTCCATGGACATTTTCGTCTTTTTTGCTTTTTCTTTTTTTTTTTCCTTTCTGGCGAGGGGGCCCTCGCCGGCGTCGGGCGAGGGCTGCCCTTGCCGGCGTCGGGCGAGGGCTGCCCTTGCCGGATCCGGCGAGGGGGCCCTCGCCGGCGTCGGCGAGGCGCCCTCGCCGCGCGTCGGGTGAGGGCGACCCTCGCCGGCGTCGGCGAGGGCGGCCCTTGCCCGACTCAGTGAGGTTGACCCTCGCCGGCGTCGGGCGAGGGTCGACCTCGCTCGAGTCCGGGCAAGGGTCGCCCTCGCCGATCGGGCGAGGGCCGCCTCGTTCGGCACGCCGCGGCGCCCCCGCCGAGATCCGGCAAGGCGGCCCTCGCCGGCGTCGGGCGAGGGTCGCCCTCGCTCACCCGGGCGAGGGCGACCCTCGCCGACGCCGCGAGGGTAGCCCTCGCCCGGATCGGGCGAGGCCGCCTCGTCGGCCGCCGGCGAGGCGGCCCCGCCGGCGTCGAGCGAGGGCGGCCCTCGCCTGGGCGAGCGAGGGCGGCCCTCGCCGACGCCGGCGAGGGCTGCCCTCGCCGGCACGCGGCGAGGGGGCCCTCGCCGGAAAGGAAAAAAAAAAGAAAAAATGCAAAAAAGACGAAAATGCCCATGGACTAAATGCATTGGGGTAAATGTGTCACAAATAGCAAAGTTTGGGGTTTTTGGTGTCACAAAAAAAAGTTCGGGGTAAATGTGTTACATGTGGAAAAGTTTGGGGTTTTTGGTGGCTTTTTCCCTATTATATATTATATACTTTTATCTACTCTAAACCCTAGCGCCTCTTCCTTTGTTTTCTTTTTTCTTGTGCAGTTCAGTTTGCCATGTAAATTAGAAAGTAGAAGGAAATTGAGCCCTAATTCGACCCAAAAGAAAAATTGAAACCCTCTTTGCTCACCTCGGTCTGCTTACTCGCCTCGGCCTCGCTCGCCCACGTCGGCCTCTCGCCTTGCTTGCCTAGCCTTTTCTTTTTTACGAATGAATAAGATATGAAGTTGTATAATTAATCGATTATATTATGTATTTTGAACTTCTTATGGTTCAATTGTATTTCACGTGTTTATTTTCATGGTTTGTCGCTTTTAGCAAGTGTGAAATTTATGTTGTTACCTTTATCTTATATTTATGTTTATTATGTACCAATGTTCATAGTTGGTTGCTCCGATATGTAATTTGAAATAGTATGTTTATTCTTTCAAGGAATACAAAAAATGAAACAAAAAAAATAATCGTTTGGTCCCTGGTTGACCCTGGAACCAGACTAGACTCATAGAGTCGGCCCGATCCTCGGTCCAGGCTCAACAGGGTCGATCCTTGATCCAAAAAATTGAGGAGCAATACTGTGCGGGTTGGTCTTTGGATTAGGTATTGGACCAGCCCAACCTAGACCATGCTCAAGCCTAGTGCTCGGTCCATCGAGACTAGGCCCGGGACCCATATGCCTGTGCCTCGACCCCGGTGCCCGAGTTGGGGTCCATCGATTCCGGACTCGGGAATCTAGTGCTTTTATCCAGTTCCTCGATTGCCGATACGCAAGTTATTAGCACCCGAGTGGTGTATATTTATTTAGGAAAATCAAATTAGATTTTTCATACCAAACGATTGAAAATATTTTCCACTTCATTTTTAGGTTTCAGTTAATCACCGGAAAATATCGTCATTTTTTAGAAAATGTCATGTTTTTCACGAAACAGACGGCGCCTAAGCAACGCGACAGATTTTAGTTAGGTGCTAAATGATATACATTATGCAATTGTTTCATTTAAAGTCGACCATATTATTTAACAACTCCAAGAACAAAAGTGAATTTCTTTTTGTGCACGCACATTACTCGCGAGATATTTCCTTCTTCTTGCTACTTCTTTAATGTGTCAGAATATTTTAAAATAATATTAGCGAAAGAGACACAAATGTCATGTCATATTACACTCTATATCGGGGGCGGTATGAAGCTGACGAAGGACATTATATGAAATCATTATTAGATTAGACCAACGAAAAATATCTCCTTTTCAAAAAAAAATATTTTCGACATCCTAGTGTACCGCACTCTCTAAGCATGCTTTTAATCGCTTATAAAAATGAAGGGACTGGACATATTTTCATTATCATCCATGATAAAATTTAGACATAAATTATTATCGATATAATTATTTGTATTCCAGCCAGCAAGGGCAGAGAACATGTTTTTGAGGGAAGAATTGACTTTATAAGGCGCCCAAAAAAACAAAACAGAAAAAAAAAGAGGGGAGAGAATTCCATTATTTCTTTTTTTGGGCCGAAATGAAAAAACCAAAAAGAGAAAAAGAAAAAGAAATGCCAATTTAAAAGGACTGCATCGCTCACATTCTCCTCCTACCAACCCAAAATCCTCCCTCTCCTCCCTGCACAACATTCCTCCCTTCCTACTTTCACCCAAAAAAACACGAAAAGAGAAAAGAAAAATATCACAAGAAAATGAGCTCCCCATCATTACACCCCAATTCTTCTTCTTCTTCTTCTTCTTCTTCGTCTTCATCTTCTGCGTCACTATCATCTTCATCTTTATCTTCATCTTCTCCGCCTTCGCCGCCTTCGTTCGCCGATCGCATCCTCGCCCCTCTCGGGTTCGCCCTCCTGGTCCTCCTCGTCGCCGTCATCTCCTACTCCTTCGCCCGCCGCCGGCGCCGGCGCCTCGCGGCCCACTCCCACCACGGCGCCTCCCTCCCGGAGGAGGAGGAGGAGGAGGAGGAGGACGACGACGACGGCGACGAGGCCGGCGCCGGGCTCAGCGAGGCCGCGATCCTCAGCTACCCGAAGCTCCTCTACTCGAACGCGCAGCTCCGGCGGGGGAAGCCGAGCGAGTCCTGCTGCTCGATCTGCCTGGCGGAGTACGGGGACAGCGACGTGCTGCGGCTGCTGCCGGGGTGCGACCACTACTTCCACCTCAAGTGCGTCGATCCGTGGCTGAAGCTCCACTCCTCCTGCCCGATCTGCAGGAAGTCGCTGATCAGTTCGTGACGGCGTCCGCTTGCTAGGAAATCGGAGGGGGTCGCCGGCTCTCCGATTCCTAGGGTTCCGGCGCCCGAGCGTCGCCAATTGCATTTGCCTCGGGACCTTTGCTGGATCAGCAGCAGCTGAACTGACACAACCGTGGGGTCCGCGGATGCACACCCGACCCGACCCGGAAAGCGGAGGAAAAACAGGTTTGCGTTTTGGAATTTGAATCTTCGGGAAATACGGCTTTTCGCAGCCGCGAAAGGGTGGGATTGGATTTGAGGTAGTCTATGCTAGGAAAGATACGGAAGTGTACAGGGTTGAGGATCGTGCTGTTTTCGGTAATGAATTCGCCATGAAAATTCACCACTGAAAGCATGAAGATTGCGTGCGCGTGCGTGTGGATCGTGTGCATAGCGTTGGCCCAAAAACAACAACTATATAGAATTGTGCAAAGATCACGTCCTATTCTGGAAAGAAAATTTACTTGTTTTAGGGAGAGAAAGGATTGTCTTTGGACACTTGTTTAGAGAGTATTGGCGTATCGGCATTAAGGAGACACCAACATCCAAGGGCAATTGCGCATTTTCGTTTTTGGTAAGTTTGAAAGGCCGTGTTAAGTTTGTCACGCGGTAATAAATTGTGTTAATATTTTTTGGGATAAGTATAGTGAAAGTCCTATGTCACGGAGTGCAATTGAGTCCTGAAACTTTCAAAAAGTGTAATCATATACTATAACTTATCAAGTTGGTGTAATCAAGTCATTCTATTAAGTTCGTTCTACTTTTTATTTTTTGGGTTCTTATTCGTTTAATTTGACAAACGAAAAATGCTAACAAAATTCAGGATTTAGATTGCACCAATTTGATAAGTTTAAGGACTTGATTGCAATTTTTTGAAAGTTTTAAGACATAATTGCACTTTCGTGATAAGTTTTAGGGCTTCTAGTGCACTTATCCCTAATTTTTTTTTGTATGATTGAAAAGTTATGTTAGATTTACCATAGTGATTAAAAAAATAGTGCTACTTTTTGTATTTGTCCAAAGTCAATAAATGGCGATCCCTAGAAACGAAGAACGTGGCTCATTCAAAAGGAAGGCAACATTAGCAATTATTTGCAAGTCAAAACAATATTTTCAATGAGATTTGATTTTCCCTGAAAAATTCAACGTGCAATTATGCTTCAAGAGTTTTAATGGTCAAAAAAGCTTCAGCTCTCCACGTTGTCGAACCTTTCTGATGTAATGAAACTTTCAAGACGATTATCTTCTTCTTCTTCTTCTTTTTAAAGTCGATTCTTTGGAATGTGTGCTACATTAAATTAAGGGTTAATACCACGAAAAATCCTAAACTGGTACACTTGTGACATATTTACTCCAAACTATTTTTTTGACTATAAAAAACCCCAAACTGGTACACCTGTGATAATTTTACCCCAAACATACCACAAAAAACCCTAAACTGGTACACATGTGGCAATTTTACCAAGAACTAATTTTTAATATTATTTTTTATTTTTTCTTTTCTTTTCTTTTCTTTTTTTTTTCCTTCACCTTCAACCTCTGGCTGGTCGCCGATCCGGCGACCGGCCAGAGGTGGAAGCCGGCGAGGGCCGCCCTCGTCGGCGTCGGGCGAGGGCCACCCTAGCCTGAGTCGGGCGAGGGTCGCCCTTGCCCCGGATCTGGCGAGGACGGCCCTCCCCGACGCCGGCGAGGCGGCGCCTCGCCCGACGCCGGCGATGGCGGCCCTCGCCGTCGACGCCGGCGATGGCGGCCCTCGCCCGGGACGCCGGCGATGGCGGCCCTCGCCCGACGCCGGCGATGGCGGCCCTGGCCGGCTTCCGCCTCTGGCCGGACGCCGGACCGGCGACCGGCCAGGGTTTGAAGATGAAAAAAAAAAGAAAAGAAAAGAATAAAAAATAAATAAAAATTCGAAAAAAATAAAAATAATATTAAAATTTTAATTCAGGGTAAAATTGTCACATATGTACCAGTTTAGGGTTTTTTGTGGTAAATTCAGGGTAAAATTGTCACAGGTGTACCAGTTTGGGATTTTTGGTGGTCAAAAAAATAGTTCAGGGTAAAATTATCACAGGTGTACCAGTTTGGGGTTTTTTATGGTTAAAAAAATAGTTTGGGGTAAATGTGTCACAAGTGTACCAGTTTAGGGTTTTTCGTGGTATTAACCCTTAAATTAATCCTGCCCTCCGAAGCTTTAACCACAGTACTTGTAATGATATCTTCATCGAAGGAATTAATGAAAGCCCGGAAGCGTCCAAGATCAGATAGACTGTTCTTGGGTCGACCTTAGGTCCACGCGAAACTCATCGATCCGACGGCTGAACCCGCTCGATCTCTTCCGTCCGTGCGCCGGGAACATTCTCGGGGCATGCCGGTCACTCTTGTTCCTGCAGCAGAGCAGGATATCTGTCTATGTTTCAGCATTCATTGATCCATGAAGTGGTGTTTTGAAGCTGAGCTGAGGGACAACTTTTCGTTCACCGGTGGCAATTTTTGTCAAGCGTCTACTTTGAAATCATCTGGATTCAATTTGAATTCTTGCAATTGGCAGTATCGGCTGCGCAGAAAAGTTTGATCCGTTCGAAGGGGATTTAGCTGGTTCCTAGAACAAAATAAGCATTGACCCGACAATTATGATGTCTGATTGCGTATCGTCTTCTTTCGCTCCGTAATCTCGCTATGGCGAACTCATGTTTTAGCTCTAAGTCCTCAGCTCGTGCCGGTAGAACATTTGGTGGTGCAAAAAAGTGGATGCCTCGTAATGTCATGCCGCATCAGTATAATTTTCTCTATACGACATAGGCAAAGTGCAACAGCCACAGCCAGTTCAAGCCGAAGTCGAAATGTCGCTAAGATCTCAGATCACATCTACGAAATCATGATCCACTACAAGTAGGAGAGTCTCCAGAAGGCAGAGCAACACCAGTTGATGTTGCAGGGCTTGTATGAAAAGCTCGTGGCTCGGACCCATTCCCTTGCCGAACAATTGTTTGGGTGAACAAGAACAAGACGGCACCTCGGTGGCGGTGACTCTGGTTGGACCGGAACGGGTGGAACTGGTGGAACAACGTCCGGAACAGGATGATGATACACGGCAACCTCGACTTTTTGCCCCGGAGAGCAGTAACACGAGACGCTGCAGATGAAATAGAACACGCCCTTCTCTATCAGCGGGACTCTCGCAGGCCCTGTGCGGAAGGACCGGAAGAAGTTGTCCGCCGTGCAGGCCTCCTACTTGCGCCTCGAGACTTGCATCACGTTGTAAAAGCCAGTCCTGAACTCGAAAACCGAGACAAAAGAAGGAGAGATCGACGAAACCACTTTATACATCCAATCACAGAGTGATCAAACAACACTTATGACGGAAAAGGGCCGAAATTAGAGGAACCGATGAGATTACGTAGAACGTCGCCGACGAAGAAACGGTGGGAGGAGGACCAGTTGAAGTAGTAAGTTGGGTATGGAGGGATGGAACAAATCGAGCCTCCAACCTTGTATCGCAATCCATTTGAGGCGTTGAGAATTACACATGCCATGACTAAGAGAAGTGCTTGTGAAGTTGCAGATAGTTGCCTCTGCACAGCCATTTCTTGGCAGAGTTCAGAGGAAGAGATTATTCAGAGTTCATATTCAATTGAAGCTCTAGAGCCACGCGAGGATGAAGTTAGAAAATGAAGAGACTTTCGCCATGGAAGGAGACGTTATGTTGTGGGGATCGGAGGATGAATGATGTGAGGGTGTAAATGACGATGCTTTGGCCCAAAATAAGGAAAAGAAAAAAAAAAGAATGGATGAACTACAAACGGGACCTAAGTGTGTCCTTAAACTATTTCTTTTGAACTCTGGGACATAAAATTCGAGGGTATTTCCTAAAAAGAGGGAAGAAAAAACTCTCTCTCCAAATTGGGGATTGGGTGTGCAAACACCGGCGCATTAAAATAAGAAATTGAGTCATTTGAACCCGTCAGGAGTATACACCTGGACAGGCGGGGCGGCCTCAATCGGAAAGCTTGCTTTCCCTTACTTTGATGAGGTACCCTCGATAACCACCACCAAGGATCTAAGGCAGGCTCCAGGTTACCGAGAGACTCAATCTAATGTAATGTAATCTAAGTGTATATAATCTAACACTATTAAATGAGACTCTTCTTCCTAAGAGATCTTTGTATAAAGCTAACACTTGCAGCTTTGTACTCTATTCTTAGGTACAGATTAGATTACTATTGATGTCTTGTTTTGGTGTATCAACAATGTTCAGACAAAGACCCTGTAGAGATTCTTCATATTTCATTCTACCAATTATCTTTAGATCACCGAACTCCTTCTGACATTGCCTCTTTTTTTTATTCTTGCGATACCCCATTGTCGAGCTCGTGCCCATCGATCTGTTCATTCTTTCGTTCCGAAGTTATCTTACCCTGCTAAATGTCACTTTTCTTAGAAGAACTCGGCGAGGGAGAGAGATTACTCAAAACTTCATGAAGGCATTGAGTTCACAACTTGTAGACTACAAACAGATTAATTACAAAACCTTTCGATTATTTCAACCAAGTATACGAAATGCTTTCAGAAATAGCATGTCACGATCTAAACTTTAATTCAATGTGCAATATCATCCCTGAATATTTAATTTGTTCATTGTGGTCCCTGAACTATTGATAAATGTTCAATGTAGTCCTTTCGTTTGTTTAAATGACAAATGAAAAGTTATTTGATGGAGTTGATTATTATATGTTGAACATGTCCATCTTTTTATTCATCTATTATAGAAAAAAAATTAAAAAATAGGACGTTAACATGTCCATTATTATTTGATGATGTAGATTATTGTATCATAATTTGAGATGAATATTTTACGTAAGCAATCCACGTGTAACTTCTTCTTTTTGTCCACCCCTTAAACTTGACGGGTTGGAAGCCAAATCAACATATTTCGTTAATTTGAATTAATAAAAGGATGACATTTAACATTTTCATATAGTTTAGGGACTAGATCGAGCATTTACTAGTAGTGTATAGACTATATAGACAAATTAAAAGTTCAGGACCGACATTGTACATTGAAAGTTCGTAAATCATTTGTCTCATTTTCCCTAGAAGGTACACCTCTACTTTTACCGCACACTCTGATCCAATTCTTAAAGAGATTTTCGGAAGTACTAATCTAATGTCCCTAAACTCCGAACTCGATCAATTTGTGAAATATATTTGGGTTGGCCTAAGCTCAGTAAATGAAAGCGCTAAATCTAAAATAGGAGATTTACTCACCACTTGATTTGAGAGCACAACAACATAGTAACATTCAGCGAGTGAATATCGCATTTCATTGCTAATAAGGAAACCAACATATTATTTAAATTCAATTAAATAATGTAATCCACACATTAAACCACTATAATCATATGTGCAATGAATAAAGATAGATGCCATGAATTGATGTTCGGTTAAACACTTAAATGGACACTGATGTACACCAATGAGTATATATTCCATATTTGTCATTGGCCAGTTTTCATCTTAACTAACGAAGCATCGTCACCATCAACTCATGGGGACATAATCATAAACACATCTTTGTCAAGCCTCTCAGCCCATCAATTATGGGTGTCTTCTACATCAATGAGGATAAATACACTACTGTACATCCACATGATATTATATCACAAGTCACTCAAGCCACATCAGGCTACACAAGCCATATTATTTTGTACTTCATGTCCTCTCAACCTTTTAGGACCTGTCTTAGACGGTAGAACATATGTCTTTTCCTAGATTTTTATACACATACTCATACAATGGTGTTCACTTTCTGGTGATTAGATCGTGACAAAGATCCTTATCACATGGCATCACTGACATACAAATCATTATAACATAACGGTGGCCATGTTCCATCATATAATGGCAGTGTAACTAATATTACCCAAATATTTTGGTGTTCCCCATGTCAATAATGGAAACAAATACCCATTATCATTTGCAAAATCACAAACTCTTATTCATAAAACAATCAATCATACGGTACATATCATCATTACGTGCAAATTATTATTACATATCAAATGCCATGTATTTTTCAATAATGATATTTACATATAATAACATATTATTACCCACCCATCGGTGGCCGCGTTGGTTTGCGCTCAGTTCCTTTCACGAGAGGTCCTGGGTTCAAAACTCGCCCATCGGTGATTTAAGTGGGGGGTCGTGGCGGTGGGATGCTGCGCTAGTCCCCCTCGAGGACTAGTCGGGCATCATCGCTGGTTTGAGCCCTAACTCGCCGGCTGCGCGGACACCTCGATTATCAAAAAAAAAAAACATATTATTCTCTTGGCATTTTTCATGTAATCAGTAACAATCAAATAATTACATGTTTTTTAACATATAAAACTTCATCTTCTTTTATCATACCATCACTATTTAATAGAGAACATATGCAAATTCACTAATTTCCTAAAATTTTAGATTTTCAGAATTACATAATTACCCCAACAAAGTTTCTGACTTTATAATTTTTACCCATAACTTCCAATTTTCTCTTAATCAAGCCATATTAATTAATTTAAATATCTAAGGCCATTGATTTGTCATCTAAGACATATGAATACTTCATTTACACTATATAAATGCCACAGATTTTATCAAATTTCAAAACAACCCACTTTTAAACTAACTATGCAATTTAGTCCAATTTTGTCTAATTATATAAATCCTCCAGATAAATAAATAATTTATAAAAAATAAATTCGCTATCAATCATCCTAAGGTTTCTGATTGTGTAATCAGCCCTTATAATTTACAGTATTTGCAAATTCGTCCCCTAACTTTGTGAAATTACGAGTTTGCCCCTAAAGTTTCAAAACTATTTATTTTGACCTCGTTTGATTTCTTTTAATTAATTTAACTTGATAACCCACTAGTTCACACTTAAAATGATAAAATAACACTGTTAAAAGAGCCCTTTCGTTTCTGCAAATATTACAATATTGCACCTGTACATGTCAAAATTGCTAAAATGCCACTTTTAGGTCTAGTTTTACCATTACTACATTTTTGTCATCCAAGATACAACAAAATCTATTGCTAATCATTCAAACGGATTCTAAGAATGTAGAAAACTTTTCAATTCAAATTTTAAATCACAATAGCTCAATATAATATTCTTGAAGTTCAATTAAACTAAATAAGCAAACATCGACTAAGCCGGTTCAAGAATGCAAAGTAAATCAATCTAACTTACTCCTAGAGTCTTCACTTATATTGAGTGAAAAGCCTTAATCACCTTGTAAGATGCTTGATAGGTGGGATTAAAAACAAAACAAATTGGATAAACTATGGAGGTTGGATAACAATTGAGTTGGAACTTTGCTTGGTGTAAAAGATTGGAAGAGAGAACAAAAATGATTGAGCTTGAAGATGTGAAGATGGAGGTGCACATACAAGAAGGAGAAGGAAAATGGATTTTTTTTTTAATCTTTCTTCTTTTTCTTTTACTTTTTTTTAAAGAACAATTTTTATGTTTATTAACTAGGGTTATAACAATGATATAAAGTAACTAGAGTAAAATAATAGATATAAAGTAATTAGGATAAAAAATAATATATCGTCCATGATGTCATTTTAGGGGTTAGATTCAAGACACAAATTAAGAGCATATGGGGATTTAAGTGAGGGACAAATGGCTTGATATGGGTGATTAAAATCAAGACGTTTGATAATGTTGAAATAGTATTTTTCATTTCAATAAACTTATAGGTACTCAGCGTTTGCTCTAAATGCCGATAAGTCAAAAATATTTTGAAACCACCAAAATCATTAGCAAGACTATGCCTAAGTAGTCTTAACTCGGTGAATTTTCACTTTTGCTAATTACCTTATATGCTTTTTGGTTATATCAATCCCGTCCAATAAATATTGTATCAATCCGTTTTTCACCGTTAATATCCGATAACAACTTATGCGCTGATTTCTATCAATTTATGCATATTGAAATTAGTAAAATTATTATCCCAATTGATTTTTCTCAATTACGGCACATTCGGAAACTGCGAAAACCAATAAATTCTACGTCCACATGAAGTTCGTAATGTTCATAAACCTGAAAACATTTTCCATCAATTCGAACTCTCGTCGCCCTTTTTGACCCTTCAAAAGATTTAATAACCCTCAACGAGAGTCATAATTTATCAAAGTTATCAAGTAATTCATGGTTACCATTTATCGTCTTAATCTCCTAAATAATATTGGAAAATGAAGAAATTTCCAAATGTCACATGGCAGTAGGACATGCTCTTGTAATCAGGAGAGTCTCAACTTTCTGATTGCAGAGACTAGATCAGCGTGTGTTAGCCGCATTTTGAGAGTGTTTCATCGTTCGAAAGTTAGGAATGCTTTTCCCCCGGTTTTTATGGCAATTCCATTAGACCCAGTTGCAAACAGTATAAATCCTCCAAATAAGGTTTTGCCTTCCTCTTTGTTTCTTCTGCAAGTCAGGTCAGTGTGCCAAATCTAGATAAAATCCCGAACAGGATTCGGACCATTCGACCGAAAAACAAAATCACACCACCATTGCCTTCCATCATTACTATCGTGATGCCAAAAAAGAGCAGAGGCGAACCACCTAACCGGCGGCTTTCTTAAGATGACAAATATGATTTCCATATCAGGAGCGCGCAGTAGAAGAGGGGCAGGGCGTGGGGAGCAGACAATCTCCACCTACGACGACCACGAGGCTAGCACACATACTAGTACAGGAAGAGGTCCACAGATTCGCTACAATGTCGGATACAAAATTGTGACAACTTACGTCGCAAGCGAAAATTTGAGAGGAAAATAATAGAGAACAAGGGCGAAACCTGGTGAGGCTTCGTTGACCATCGCTGCGACCAAGAGTTACCTCATCACAAGGAATACCTAGTTCCTCCGATCAAATTATTATCTCCAGACATTGCCAACCGATCACAAATAACCAAGATCCCGAACATCAATCCACCAGCTGCGCCGAAGCAAAATTTATCCTATTTTCTCCTTTGCTTGTGCTTAACTATTATGATTTTACGACCAGACTTGTCACCACCGGTTCCAAGTAAGAAGCTCCCTCCACCTAGATCTAAACTGCCAGAAGCCTGAAATGGGGAAGGATTCGGCGGGGTGGCCAGGTTCTGTTGACTTCCAAATTGGAAAGGGTTAGACACCGTTGAAGCCGGTGGATTGAACATGAACCCAGTCGAAGGTTGTGGTGAGATCGGTTGCTGGCCAAATACAGGAACTGAGGGAGTAGTTGTCACAACTGTGTCCTCAGCCATGCTATCCTCCGCATTCATCTGATCTTTATTGCCTGAGGGTACCAAACCAAAGGTGAACGCAGGATTAGAATTCCCAAAAACAGGCACTGAAGAAGCGCTAGAAGCAGCAGAAATGAACGAGAAAGTTGAAGCAGATGAAGCGCTAGTTGATCCAAAAATAGGAGTGGCGCTGGTTGATCCAAATAGAGGGGAAATAGATGAGGTGTTGGTTGATCCGAAAATAGGAGCCCCAGTGGAAGCAGACAAATTGCCGCTTGTCCCGAAAATTGGGGCACCATTTGAAGTAGCAGTCACGCTGGTTGCTCCAAAAACAGGAGTACTGCTTGAAGCAGATGTGGAACCTGATGATCCAAATATGTGACTGCTAGAAGCCGCTAGCACACTAAAAGGAAAACCGGTCAATTGAGAAGCTGATGAGGTACCAAATACGGGAGATGCCGATGACTGCCAAGAACCAATCGCGTTTGAAGTAGTGCTGCTACCTGAACTGACAGAATTCGCCGCTGAAGAGGAAGCAGAACTCATGCCAAATGAAGCCCCAGAGAACAGTTTCGGTGCAGAAGATGGACCAAACAAAGAGCTTCCAGTATTCGCAGACAATCCAAATGAAGCCGCAGATGATCCAGATTGAACCGAGGCACTCTGAGTCAAGGCTAGTACTGCAGTCCCAGCAGATGCTGGAAGTTGTGGAGAACCATTGGCAGCATCAACTAATGAAGAACCCTGTTGTTTTGTCTCAGAAATTGATGTGGAAGCTGGTGCACTAAACCCAAAGATGCCGCTTCCTGTGGTGGCATTTCCAGAAGATGGACCCGGAAAAAGATTGCTGGTGACATTTCCAGAGTCAGTGTCCACCTTGGTCTTGGCTTCTCCCAGAGCAATGGATGGAGTAGGCGCGGATTGCGCAACTGAAATTGACACAGAAACACCAATTCTCTATGGAGTTGAAAGAAGGTGTGTTTTTCATGATATACACAATATAGTAAGTCACTTTGAATTCACAATAGAGAATTTCCCACCTCTGAGAATTGACTTCTAATTGAAGAAGATCTTGAAGGAGGCAGTGTGGCAACATCTTCTGAAGAAAACAGGACAATCATTTCGAGTTGACAAAACTGTCTGATGATTCAATTATGACGATTCTCGACTAACCAACCACAAATCCAAAAAGAAAGTTCTAGGACAATGCGTGCGTTTGACCGAAAAAGGGTGATTTCGCGTGTTTATATGCATGTTGTAAAATCCATGGGAACTAAAGGAAGCTTCAACTGCCGTATGAGAACCAACAATCCTCTCAAATTCGCAGCCAAATGGCATTCAATCATTTTCAGCCAATTAGGTAGAAAGCAACAAAGTGGCCCATTTTTCATCAATTCAAATATACATCAACATTGCAAGAAATGCGTTGTCAGGAAAGCTAGAGATTAAGCATTGGAATCGAAATTAGAATCAGACCGCTTGGTGTTGGGTTTGCAATGATATGTGAAGCGCCAGCTCGTGCAGGGCCAGAACTGTCTTCATCCTCTTGTAGGGATTGCATGAGCGTCTTTTTGAAGATTTCCCACTGCATAACCACAAGACTAAACCTCAGACCAACCGAGCAGCAGAAACTACCAAACTACACACCAGAAAAGGGAATTAATACCAGCTAAAACAAAATTACTCGAGAACTAGGTTATCTTCTCATAAGGCGCCCTTTAAAGGGAATTTAATTCAAAGGCGTGAAATCTAAACAGATAGCGGGTCTTTCGAGTAGCTTTTCGAATCACAGCACCACGCAAGGGCATTGCCATTGATCATTGAAATTCACAAAACCCGCTTTCTTTTGCAGCCCAAACACACAGATTTCATCAGTGTCAAACTAGTGTGATTCAATTCTCATCATAACTCAGAAAAATCATTAAAACTCCAAAGCGTAGGTTTCACCAGTAGTCTTTCAACTACAGTGGGTTCTGTAATCAACTCAATGAACTTTGACGGTGCGACGACCCAGACCCTAGGTGGCGGGCGCAGGATGAGGGATGGCAAGGGAGGTTGCACCTCTACCTTGGACATACGCGGGGCGAGGCTAAGCGCATGTCTCTTGTCCCACATCACCGAGAGGGAGTCATGGGCTAGTTGATAAGTCTTGGATTCTCTACTCTGTGTAAAACATTTTAAAGCCGGGCTAAGGACCCAAAAGCGGACAATATTACGCAATGGTAGCCCTTGGATCGTAACAGCCGGAATGAACACTTTCACTAATCGTACTTCACACGTTCCATACCAATGGCCAACTCCGGGTTCTCATTTTCACCCCAAAAAAAAAAATCAATGGCACTAATTTACAATAATAAGTAATATTTCACTAAAAGAAGCAGTTTTTGCACTTAAATTGACTAAGATAAGCACACAAAGTCAAAGCATAGAGTCAGTGCTCTGGAGTTGAATGAGCACAAACCTTGGAAGCATCTCTGCTCAACTTCTCCACAGTGGTCGTCAGCCATTCGTTCTCCTTCACCAGTTTCTCCTGCAACCCCAACCAACAAAACACCAATCCAATTTCGCCCCCTCAAAAAAAAAAAACTAACTGAGAGAGAGAACCGAATCGAATTGGGTCGGGTCGGGTTTGTCGGACCTTCTCGAGCTCGGATCGGGAGAGCTTGTCGAGGGCGTCGGCGAGGGAGGCGTCGAGGGACTCGACCTGGGACTGGAGGTCGGCGATACTGTGGTCCTTCTCGGCGAGCTTGGCGCGGAGGTCGGAGGACTCGGACTCGAGGGAGGAGACGCGGGTTGAGAGGGCCATGGAGGTGATCTTGCGGGCCACGTCCAGCTGCTCGTACGGGTCCGACGGCAGTACCGCCAGTACCTCCTCCGGCAGGTCGAACGTCGCCGCCGGCGCCGATTCCTTCGCCAGCATCTCTCTCTCCTTTTTTTTTTTCCTTATATTATTTAATTAGTTGTTTTTAAATAACTTTGTCAATGCATATTGTACGTTACTAAAAGCATCACGACCCCAAACTCTAAGTCTCATTAAAGTTCATTGGGTAAAGTGTAATGTAACCTCTCAAACTTACCACGAAAATATAATTAAATTTTAAATTTTTTAAAAAGTATAATTATAATTTTAAAATTTTTCACGAAATGCAATTGAGTTATAAAATTTTAAAAAAAATACAATTGAGTTTTAAAACTTGTTAAATTTGCCCAAATAACTCCTTTCATTAACTGTACTTTCGTGATAAATTTATGATTTGATTACACTTTTATGACAAAATTTAAGACTTTAAATGCACTCGTCCTTAAGTTCATTAGTCTCTCTACTTTTTTATTTTTTTTTATCGAAATTAGTCTTTTTACTTAGCTTTTGACAAAATTGACAAAGTTACAACCCACCAAAAAGAGCTAGCTGGCGCCGCCGATTCCTTCGCCAGCAAGTCATATGTTCTGGGGCACGCTTGCTGGGTTTTGTTTGTAGTCAAGAGATTCTTGAAGTTGAAATCCTGGATGTTATCGTCCGATTCTCCCAATTCAATTGGTTTTATCCTTCGCACCGATTCCTTGTTACAACCCAAATATGTTGGGTTAGAGCTATGTGACTAGGCTTGTTCGCCCGTTATGTATGATTGATTTAGAGGAGGTTAGGGTAGGGATGCACAGCTCGACTTTAATATCGCATTAATATTGGACTCAATCTAAAATTTCCATAAGTTTATAACGACGATCACTGACTCACGTCAAATGATGTGACGGATAATCTTTAATGCATGAAAATGCGAATTGTGAGAGAAATAACGTGGTATCGAACAATCATATAAATTGTGAAATAACGATGAAACTAACGAATCTTGTAATTTAAGATCAAACGTGAGAAAACGAAATTATCGAATCTTGTAATTTAAGATTAAATGTGAGAAAACAAAATTACTTTAGAAATCTGTTGGTAGTTTGCTAGTAAAACAAAACCAGTTAAGAAGTGCCCTGCAGCATAGCAGGATATCTGTCTATGTTTCGGCATTCATTGATTCATGAAGTAGTGTTTTGAATCTGAGCTGAGGGACAACTTTTCCTTCACCAGTGGCAATTTTTGTCAAGTGTCTACTTTGAAATCATCTGGAGTCAATTCGAATTCTTGCAATTGGCGTATCGGCTGCGCAGGAAAGTTTGATCCATTCGAAGGGATTAGCTGGTTCCTAGAACAAAATGTCTGATTGTGTATCGGCTTCTTTCGCTCCATAATCTCGCTATGACGAACTCGTGTTTTAGCTCTAAGTCCTCAGCTCGTGCTGGTAGAACCTTCGGTAGTGCAAAAAAGTGGACGCCGCATAATGTCATGGCCGATCATGTCGCAAAAGTAAAAACTTCTGTGACGTTATAAAACCTACCATCGCATCAGTATAATTTTCTCTGTACGACATAAGCAAAGTGCAGCAGCCACAGCCAGTTCAAGCCGAAGTCGAAATGTCGCTAAGATCTCAACTCACATCCTACGAAATCATGATCCACTACAAGTAGGAGAGTCACCAGAAGGCAGAGCAACAACACTAGTTGATGTTGAAGGGCTTGTATGAAGAGCTCGTGGCTTGGACCCATTCCCTTGCCTAGCAATTGTTTGGGCGAACAAGACGGCACCACGGTGTCGGTGACTGTGGTTGGACCGGTAGGCGGTGGAACAATGTCTGGCGGTGGAACAACGACCGGAACAGGATGATGATACGCGGCAACCTCGACTTTTTGCCCGAGAGAGCAGTAACACGAGACGCTGCAGATGAAATAGAACACGCCCTTCTCTATCAGCGGGACTCTCGCAGGCCCCGTGCGGAAGGACCGGAAGGGGTTGTCCGCCGTGCAGGCCTCGTACTCGCGCCGCGAGACTTGCATCACGTTGTAAAAGCCAGTCCTGAACTCGAAAACTGAGACAAAAGGAAGGAGAGATCGAGGAACCCACTTTATACATCCAATCACAGAGTGATCAAACAACGCAAATGACGGAAACGGGCTTGAATTAGAGGAACCGATGAGATTACGGAGAACGTCGCCGACGAAGAAACGGTGGGAGGAGGACCAGTTGGAGTAGTAAGTTGGGTATGGAGGGATGGACCAAATCGAGCCTCCAACCTTGTATTGCAATCCATTTGAGACGTCGAGAGTTAGACCCACCATGATGAAGAGAAGTGCTTGTGAAGTTGCGGATAATTGTGTCTGCACGGCCATTTCTTCGCAGAGTTCAGAGGAAGAGACTGTTCAGAGTTCATGTCAATTGAAGCTGTAGAGGCTCACGAGGATGAAGTTAGAAAATGAAGAGACTTTCGCCACGGAAGGAGACGTTATGTTCTGGGGATGGGAGGATGAATGACTGTGAGGGTGTAAATGACAATGCTTTGGCCCAAAACAAAAATAAAAGAATGGATGAACTGCAAATGCAACATTTACGTAATCTAATCTAATGTTTTATAATCTTACACTATCATATGAGACTCTTCTTTATGAGAGATCTTGTATAAAGCTCACTTGGCGCAAAACGAGGGGAAATTGTAAAAAAAAAGTTCCAAACCTATAGTACGGATGCCAATTCAGTCATAAATCTTTCAATCATGCCAATTCAGTTCAAAACCTTTTGACAATTTGCCAATTTAGTCCTAAACTTTTTAATTGTGTCAATTCAGTCCTAAACAATTTCATTATTTTCTAATTTAGTCCTAAATCTTTTGACGATTTGTTAAGTGTACCCTTCCGACCAAATATCCAAATAATAGGTTTAGGACTACATCGGCAAATTTTCCAAAGATTTAGGATTGAATTGACACAAAAAAAAGGTTTGGGACTAAATTGGCAAATCGTCAAAAGATTTATACTAAATTGGCACAATTAAAGGGTTTAAGACTGAATTGGCTACCGTACAGTAGATTTAGGGCTTCTTCTTTTTTACAATCATCCCTAGCAAACGTTGCTCGGTTGAAATAAAAAATGACATCCCTTTTGAAATGGAAAAAAAAAAGTTCAGGTAGTTAAATTTGGTCGTGACTCGAGAAATCTCAACCACAAAATTAATGTATGTTAGCATGACTATGCTTGATTTTCACAGTTCTAAGATAGCATCAATCAATCTTCAAGGTTAATAGAGTTGATTGAGATGTTGGGAGACTTTCAGCTAATGAATCGGACGTCATGAGGTAGAATCCCACTAATTGCATACAAGCTACTCTGGATCTAGATCGCCCACTGTAACCAAAGGTCTGGAGTTAACTTGATTCTAGGGCTTGTAGAAAATATTAGGAATCTAGTAATTGGGTCATCACGCCCTTGTCTCTGATTTAAAAAAAAAAGGATAAGTACACTAAAAGTCCTAAAACTTATCATGAAAGTGCAATTGAATTCTAAAACTTTTAAAAAGTGCAAACAAGTCCTAAAACTTGTTAAAAAAGTGTACTTTAGTCCTAAAACTTTCAAAAAGTACAAACAAGTCCTAAAATTTATCACGAAAGTGCAAACAAGTCCTAAAACTTGTCACCAAAATGCAAACAAGTCCTAAAACTTTCAAAAAGTACAATCAATGGAAGGACTTGATTGAATCAATTTGATAAGTTTTAGGACTTGTTTGCACTTTTTGAAAGTTTTAGGACTCAAGTGCACTTTCGTGATAAGTTTTAGGACTTGTTTGCACTTTTTGAAAGTTTTAGGATTCAATTGCACTTTCGTGATAAGTTTTAGGACTTTGAATGCACTTATCCCAAAAAAAAAAACAATAGCTTGAATCGTTCCAATATGGGATTTTATCATAGCAGATTTTGACTAATCATGAATCAAAATGTAAATCTATGGACAAATAATTCGGCAATCTTGCTTCTGAATGGCCAAACCACACTAATCCACCGCATACTACATACTACCAAAAAAAGTGTTGCGTGCCTAAAACAAGGACGACCACATAAAACCCCTAATCCATCAATTTCTTCTTATTGTCGGTAAGGCAATTTGTCTCAAATAAGGGTTTAATGTGGGGCCGTTTTTTTTTTTTTTTTTTCAAAAGAGGGCGTAAAGTTGACATTGTCTCAAATAATAGCCTAAAGTGCCAAACTAAATTTCAAATAGGAGCTTGAGCTCACCGGCCGGCCTAATCCTCGCTAGCCGGCTTGTACGAGTGACTCATGTGCTCTCAAGAAATGTGTCACAAACCATGAAAATAGCAAAGAGTAAGCGATTGTCTTGAAATGGCGGCATTAAGAAAATACCACAGATTTCTCCTTATCAGGTATGAGGTGCCAAAAACCCAAAAACCTGAAGGAAGTGCAGACGAATTAAGAATTACCATTTGAACCCACATTGCCTCTCTTCCACAATTAAGATTTTGGGACCTATCTTTCACTGACAAAATAAGAAGAAAAGGAGTCATTAGATGACCAGATCAATTTGTCGACGAACATTTGCCCGGCCGTTGAACTTGGCTTTCATTCGTGACTAAGTTGGAAAAATTAAGCTCTTATTTGAGATGAGATCCGGTCTATACCATCTTTAAAGAAAACGGCCCCACTTCAAGCCAATCTTCCATTCAAACCCTTATAAGAGCCGGTTAATCGTTTTTCAAATGGAGTCGTGAATAAGCACCCATTCAAAAGACCTATCCGAACGCATTTTTCATTTGCCAATGGCAATAACGGAGGGAAAGCGATACATCACTAATTTAAATACGAAAAGCGGAACACATGATTGCCCCCTTACATCCCCCCATCAAGTTGATAGAAGACAGAGACATTTTTGTCTTCATTTTCCACCGAATTCAATTGACCTTCTTCCCCTTCCACCCCTTTTTCAAACGAAGCGAAAAATTTGAACCGCAAAAAAGGCGCATGCCTAATTGCCTATCCCCAAAGACGCCTTTAAAAAAAGGTAAGAGAAAAAGCAAAAGATTTCGACAAACAGCTGTCGAAAAAAAATCATGCATCTGCCATTTTCGGTCTGAATCTCTCTGGCCGTCGTCCCGCGGGCCCCACCCGGGATGGGGGAAATAATCTTACCGTTAGCCGCAAAACTCCCCTGCCCCGCCCCAGCCCAAAGCTCGCTCGCTAACGGACCAATCGCCTCGCTCCACGTCAGCTCGTCGGCACGTGGCGGATCCTCATTGCGCTGTTTCGTCCGGCGTTGTCGATGTACTCACGTCACCGCCGTGCGTTACCCCGACCGTGCGCACGCACTGTCTTCGAATTTAAAAAGGAAGAAATGGAGCAACAGCTTTCTAGCCGTTGAGCGAGCTCGACCCATACACGCAATCTCTCCTCTGTCTTGTCTCTCGCTCGCTCGCTCGCTCTCCTGCAAAAGGAGGGCACCACGGTCTCGCTCTCGCTCTTCGATTTCGTTTTCTTCTTCACCCGTTTCTGTTTCAGAGAGAACCCATCTTGGGTTTCCTCTGATTTTCCTCTTCAGCTTGCTGAAGTTTCGTGTTTTGTTTTCTTGTTTTGTTTGTTGGGGGTGGGGTGGGGGTGGGGGTGGGGGGGTTCCAAGAAATGAAGGGGGTGAAGGGGAAGCTGCTGAAGAAGCTCAAGACGATCAAGCCCATCGGGTATCTGAAGCAGGACAGGATCCTCCATCTGAACGCCTCCGATGGGTACGTGGAGACGTTCCTGAAGAACCCGATCATGAAAGCTCAGACCATGTTGTTCCCGAAGGAGAACCCCGATCGGAGCCTGAAGAATCAGGGCGGCCTCGGGGAGGCGCGGGAGCCGGAGGTCATCGACGTCACGGAGCTCATGAAGGATCTCGAAGACGCCGAGATGGAGTTCGATGACGATTTGGAGGACAAGGAGAATATTGGTCCGAATGTCGATGCGGGGAGCGCATTTCTCGGCAAGGAGAATTGTGAGAATGTGCTCGTGAAGTCGGAGCTGGAATCGTCTCCGGATGAGGAGGCTTCGAGGTTGTCTGAAACAGAGGAGCTGCCGAGAAACAGCTTGAAGACCCCTTTGTCAGAAATCGATGTGTCGAACTTTAGGCGGCCGGATTTGAACTCGTCGACTCTTTTCGATCCTAACCTGCTCGCGGCATTTGAGCAAGCGGTGAAGCAGCACGTTAGGATCAGCCTAGATGAGATGAGACCGAGAATTGAGGCAGAGCCGGATGATTTAGAGAAGAGTTCTGATGAGCCCCCTTCCAAAACTCGTAGAATCGAGGAGGAGGACAATGACGATGCCGATCCACTGTTGGCATTTGAGGAGAAGTGCCCACCTGGAGGCTCCGGTGCAGTAATCTTCTACACAACCAGCCTTAGAGGCATAAGAAAGACATTCGAGGACTGCGGCAAGATTCGTTTCCTCCTGAACAGCTTCCGCATCCTATACTCAGAGAGAGACGTGTCAATGCACACGGAGTTTAAGGAAGAATTGTGGGACATCTTGGGTGGGAAACCGGTCCCGCCGAGGGTGTTCATTAAGGGGAGGTACATTGGTGGAGCTGAACAAGTGTTGGGGTTACATGAGCAAGGAAAGCTCAAGAAGCTTCTTGAGGGAGTCCCAATTGATAGGTCTACTGGTCCATGTGAAGGTTGCGTCGGTATGAAATTCGTGGTGTGTTCTAAATGCAATGGGAGCCACAAGCTCGTTGGCGAAGACTCGTCGGCGAATAAATGCTCGGAGTGCAACGAGAATGGCTTGATTATTTGCCCACTTTGCTGTTGAGAGAGAATTCATCTCATTTTCTGATCATTTTTCCCTTGTGCGGTCCTCAATTATATGTTTCATTGTAAAGCTCCTATAAATATACATCGGTTGGGTGCTCTTTCCCATCAGTTCTCTCACATTAAGCTTGTATGGGCATTGGGTGGTCTATGTTTGCTGAATATAGTCTGTATAATCTGAAGACAAATAAATCTCACTGGCTTTCACTACAGGCTCAAGCATTCCATTTGGCAAATGCACCTGAGAAAGCATAATCTGATTTCGAATAGGTAGGTGAAAATAGGAGCTTCCAACAGATGAATTGAATGGTTTAGAGATTTTTTTTCGTTATTTGGTTATTATCGCGAGAACCATCTATGATCTGCCATTAGATTAAAATCTGTCATAGTTCCTTCGCATATGGAAAGAAGATTATCAATTAGAGATGGTAGACTTTGATCTTGCTTTCCTTAGTTCTTGACTTAGAAATTTATTTCCGTTTGTTACTTTGAGACAGCAGCAAGTCCTCGGTGACAAATTCACATCTAGATTAAAAGAGAAATTGCTACTAAAAGATGTATAGTTTTGTACTTGAACTTCTGTTACGGTTGCAATTTTTTATACGGTGTCATTCGCTCCCAACATTGCAGTTCCTTTCCATAACAAGGCTATTTTTTTCGACATCAAGCGCAAGGATGTCTTCCTGCCCCAGTTTTTGCTTCATTCTTTTCTGTTCTTCTTGAATCTGAACTTACTGTTTGTGGCGTTCAGTCCCTTGCCTTCAACACGGTAGTTCAAATTAAGACGCTTATCAAAGAAAATATAATCTCCCACTTGCAGCTTTGTACTCTATTTTTAGGTACTTATTAGATTACCAGTATTGATGTCTTGTTTTGGTGTATCAACAATGTTTCAGACAAGACCCTGAAGAGGTTCTCCATAGTTCATCCTACCAATCATCTTTTGATCACCGAAATCCTTCTGACACTGCCTCTGGTTTATATTCTTGTGATACCGCATTTTCGAGCTTGTGCACGTCCACCCAGCAACCTGTTCGTCCTTTTTGTTCTGAAGTTATCTTACCCTATTAAATGTCACTTTTCTTAGAAAAACTCGGCGAGGGAGAGAGATCACTCAAAAGTTCAAGAGGGCATTGAGTTCACGATTTGGAGACTATAAACAGATCAATTCCAAAACCTTTCGATTATTTCAACTGAGTACACCGGATGTTTTCAAAAATAGCATGTCACGATTTGAACTTTGATCCAACATGTAATGTCTTTTTGGAACTTTTAATTTGTTCATTGTGGTCCCTCAATTATTAATAAATGTTCGATATAATCATTCCATTTGCTGAAACGACAAATCAGATATTTTTTTTTTGGGTCAACAATTAGATATTATTTGATGGAGCGGATTATTATATACTAAGTTGGATTTTAAAAATAATGAGTCAATATGTCTATCTTTTTTAGGGGTGAGCATGGTTCCAGGTTCTACCCAAGAACTTGAGAATCTGATCAGTAGGAACCTGTAGGTTCCAGGTTCCAAGATACGTGGGGTAGGTTCCAGGTTCCAAAAATTGGGAAGCCTGTTTCGATGGGTAAGTTCTAGATTCTAGGTAGGTGGAACCTGGAACCTAAATAATTTTTTTGTATTTTTTCTTGATCTATATCTTCGCGTGATTTTACTGTGTTTCATGGCGTTAGATGATGATAATATAATATGGAACCACTAGTCTGAGCTTTCATTTTATAACTTGTTAATGTTTCATATTCTTCGTGTGTCTAAATATAAGTTGCGCTTAGTGGATCATAGAAGTAAGCGGTGATCATTAAAGGTGATGATTCACTACAATTGTTCAATTAATAATATCGGTGGAACCTGAGTAGACTCTAAAACCGATCCTCGAACCTGTGATAAGGTAGGTTTCAAGTTCCAAAAAATAAGGAGCCTATTATCATGGTGGAACCTATATAGAATATGAAACTGCTCACCCCTAGTATCGATTTACACAATGACTTCTTATTTTAGTTATATTTATTTGAATTATAATGTCAGGAAAACTAGTCTTTTGTATTCTCTTTGATAAATGACAAGTTTGTTCAGTATTGTTGCGTTTATTTTCGTTTTAATGAAATAAAAAAAAGAAGAACTTGTTAGACCCTGGAACCTACCCTAGAACTTGTGACATGGTAGGTTCCAGGTTCCGATGGGTAGGTTCCAGGTTCCAAAAAACGAGGAGCCTGTACCCGAAGGTAGGTTCCAGGTTCCATGTGGAACCTATAAGGAATCTGGAACCGCTCACCCTTAATCTTTTTATCCATCTACTATAGAAAAAGAAAAAAAAATAGGACGTCAACATTATTTGATGATGTGGATTATTATATCATAATATGAGATGAATATCTTACGTGGATAATTCACCGTAACTTCCTCTTTTTGTCCATCGATTAAACTTAACGGATTGGAAGTCACACTAGCAAATTTCATTTACTTCAGTTGATGGAAGGACGGCATTTAGCATTTTTATATAGTTTAGGGACTAGACTGAATAGTGCAAGTACCACAAAGAAAAAATTAAAAGATCATAAATAACATTGCACATTGAATCAAAATTCATTGACCATTTATGCAATTTTCTCTAGAAGATACACCTCTGCTTTTATTGTGCACTCTAATCCAATCCTTAAAGAGATTTTCGAAAGTGCTAATCTAATGTCCCTAAACTCCAAACTCGATGAATCCGAATTTGCTGGAATGAAGGTCTCCTATTTGAGATAGATTAAAACAGAGAGTCTATTTCTTTTCTATTTTCACATGCTGATGTAAGGATCTTCTTGGTCTGCATCAAGTAAATCTCATCTCCAATATGTTTCCCCATAAACATCCTCATCGAATATTTCGAAAACAAAAACAATTGATGTAGAGTACAAAGTTCAGATTCTGAACAAACTTCAGAAGCAGTTTAGTAAGTGTGCAATGGAATATGATATTATGCAGAATAAGCTTTAGGGATAAGAAAATTTACATACAAGATTTATAATGGTTCGGCTTAGATTAAGCCTATGTCGACTCTCTCGCGTTGACAGCCTATTGGCTGGATTCCACTAAATGACCGACTATAGATTACAATAATGAGTGATAACACTCAATGTATGATAGGTCTCACTATCTCACTCAATCATTCTTTCAGTACTTTTCTTAAGATCACAAAATGTAGCCCACAAAAGATAAGTATATAGGATTGAAGTTCGCTCAGACTTTGGAATTCTAGATACTAAACTTTGTCTCTTATTTTGCTCCTCGGTACCTTGATCTATTTTTATATTCATTCACTTCCAATCTAGCCGTTGGACAGTCTTCAGAAGACCATCTTCCAATCTACCCATTGGACAAAACTGCATGAAGAAGATTGAGTAGCCGTTGAGAGACAAAATCTGAATCTCCATTGATTCTGATCATCCATACAATCAAAGTCTTGGTTTCCATAAGGAGAGCTTCTCCATTGAGAAAGAAACTTTTCTCGAGATCAATTTGCCAATCATTTAGGATGTTTTGCATTACAATTAGGGGTGTGCAAAATCGATCGGCCAAACTGGGAACCGCCGGACCGGACCGAACTGGCTAGTTGGGTCCGGTTATTGAGAGTGTCAATTCGGTTCCCGATTTCTAAAAGTGGAACCGGTGTCTAGGCTATCTAGTTCCCAGTTCCAAGGGAGAACCAGACCGAACCAGACCGACTATATATACTTTTTTTATTTTTTTATTTCTTCAAAAATATTAGTGAAATGTAAACCAAACCCTAAGTGAACTTCATTAACATAAATCCATTGACAAAAATTAGTAAAATGTGAACTAAACCCTAAGTAAACTTCATTGACAAAAATTAGCAAAATATGAACTAAACCCTAAGTGACCGGTTTCATTGAACAGGACCGGACCAGACCGGATTGGGAACTAATCACCTCTAATTACAATATTGGTTTGTAAAACAATTTTTAAGATTGAGTCAATCAAATCATTCTAAATGTGAAATCTGAATCAAATCACATATACATTCAGAACTTGTGTCACGTTTTGAAATTATGTCACGTTCAGAACATGCGTCATGTTCTGAACTTTTGTCAGGATGGAAACATAAGTAGTTCTCTGAGTTTGAAGTTCTTTATTTCCAATATAAAGTAGGACCCTTTTTCACTTGAAAGAAATTCCACGATTTGAATTTGAAAAAGATTAAGATTGCTATAGGTTTCTCTTCCAAGAATAATTTCCCGAATAAAAAAACTTCAAAATATTTATTAGACTTACTAAACACTCATGAATAGTTTTGTCAACTTTAAAATTTATTAGGAAGTTTTCTTAACAATTATATCTTGACTAATTGCCAAACCCATGAAACTTGGGTGTGAATATGAGTTGTTTGGTTTATGCGATCCTGCATTTACCAGGCACCAATCTTGCCGTCCCAGCCAAGTGGGTTTAAGGTCTTCTTAAGGGATGGCATCATTGCTTGCTTCCGAAGCATGTGATCTATGAGCTGTTGGGCTCACTGCATCCAAAACATGCAAGTCTTTCGATACCAACCCTTTTGTCCATATTGGCACTGGTCCTAAGGGGAATATTCTTGTAATTACATAAGTCAACAAAGGATAAGCCTGAATCTAAACCTAGTTTTCTGAGCAAAATACGAGGTTACAGATTAACACAAAGGTTAATCTCATGGGTCTTTCTTGTTTTGTGGGTTTGGTGATCTCATGGGCCTTCTTGAAGTTTAAACATTCACAAATGTCAAGGTCAAGGTCTTGCCCGCGCGTGGAATAGGAGCAATCTATTCCTGGCCACTTTAAAGGAAATGGACACACGATTATGGTACTCTAGCTTGGGGCCTAGAGCTGTACGTTCTTATGCATAGTTCTTCACAACTCTGGCCGATGAAGTTGTAAATTCCCACGTCACCTATATTGATTTTCAGTTGAGAATGTCCATATTTGTAAACATAGCCTAATTTCAAACACAATTTATAGCGTGACTTATATTAGTTTAGGCCAAAACAAACCACCAACTCAATTGGCGTTCATTCAAATTTTAGCTGGCAATATTTGACGGAGATTTTGTACTTAATTTCGCATGCTTTTAG